AGATTCCTCAAGGGGTTTAGAATCATTTGCTGGGGTACACTGCATGCTGCCAGAGGGGAATGCACTCTGGCCTTACGGTCACAGGCGGGCAATACATGTGGAAAGCAAAGGGAGATTCATTCAGAAGAAGTATAGAGCAGCTGCAAACCCTTAGCCCAATGTCATCTAGGCGGGAAACAGTCCTATTGCATCCCAGTCTTACTCTGCATTTCTAAAGAGGCAAAGAGTCTTCTGCCTAATGGATATATTGAACTGAAGTTGAAAGGGAAAGAGAGGCAGTCCAAGTTTGACACCTGAGTGCCCATTTACCTGCACAGTAAACTCTCAGTGGCAGTCCCTTGTCTAGGCAGGAGGGGTGCAAATATTCCATCTTCCATGTCTGTCTTCAGAGTTTGCCCACTTCCACTTTCTAGGTCACTGGTTCTTCTACTTTTTCCCTTGGACTTGATTCTAAGGTTCCCATTATTTCTCAGACATACAGTAACTATTGGATGGGTGTTTGATTGCTCTTAACTAGTGCTTGAAGTGATGGGTAATTTCCAGGTGCCTGATGTTCCTCCCCTCACCTCTTGGTGAGTTATTGTGCCCCCTCAGGGCAGTTCCCTTTTCCTGCCCCAGCCCCCGGATCTTGGTCACAGACTGAAGCACGGGCTTTTATGCTTGAAAAAGATGCTGGCATGGGAGCCAGTGTGGTGTAGTGGTTAAGAGCATGGGACTGGGACTCAGACAATCTGGGTTCTAGTCCCCGCTCGGCCATGGAGCCAACTGGGTGACTTTGGGCCAGTCACAGACTCCCAGCCCAACCTACCTACCTCACAGGGTTGTTGTTGTGGGGATAAGATGGAGGAGGAGATGTAAGCTGCCTTGAGCCCTTTGTAGGAAAAGGGCAGGATACAAATAAATAATAATAATAATAATAATAATAATAATAATAATAATAATAATAAAAAGCCTAATTTAGTGACCATTTCTGCCACATGTTGCAACAGTTTCCAACACATGAGGTGGCATTCCTTTTGCACTCCCCCTATCATCATCATCATCATCATCATCATCATCATCATCATCTAGGCCTTGCTTGCACTTAATGGCAATCCAGAGTATAGGCTATTAGCTGTTATCATGGCTTGTCATTAAGTGCAGTCCTATGATTTTACTACATTGACCATGAATAACCCAGGAAGAGGAACAATAGTCTGCTGTTGAGTTCTGAACTCTGACCAAGAAGTTCTCATGAACCTACATGCCAGAGGTGGTGTTTAAACTCCAAAACAAAGTTAAAAAAGATGGCACTTGAAGGCCGTCTTCCAGTTAAAGAGGGGAAAAAAAAGAAAAGAGTTACTTTAAAATATTTGTTTTTAAAATGGGCAGGGAGCTTGGTAGGCCTCAGGAGAAGATTCCATGGTCACTGTGTTGGCGATCCCAATCTTAGACTCAGGGGTGCGATAGGGAAGACACAGATAATTGTGAGTGAAAGGATGCAGGCTTGTGTGGGCACATGCATGTTTTGGGCCAGACCATCAGCAATTTAGCTCAAAGAACCCTCCCCAGAGAAGTCTCCCCATGTCAGCTCTGGACTGGTACTAGATGTCATTACTGAAGGTAAGCAGAATTTGGCTTGGGTTGGAGCTGTATCCCACTGCTAACATAATGCAATGGTACCCAACAGTAAAGCTAATTCTCTCAGGGCTAAAGGCTGAAAAAAATGAAAGTGCATTCCAACCCTTCCTTAGAGGGTTGTTCCAAAGTTTTATTTAGTCTGGTTGCAATCTGCTCTGACGCTGTTGTGACTTCCTTCGTTAGGTATTGAATATTATGCACCCCATCATGCAAACATTGTTTAATAAACACTGCTCTTCTGCAGAGACTGGAGTTTCATAATTATGCATCAGGCCAGTAAATCCAGTGTCTCAGAGCTGAATCTTGGAGGGACCTGTGGAAATGATGGCATCTAATATCCCTGGCAGAGCCTACAGCCCACCAATGGAGTTTGCACAGCGAATTAGTCTCAAGTCTGATGGATTGCTATGGTTGTGCGTTATTAATTCATTATGAGAAACTGCTTTGGCACGTGGTTTGCTTACCACAGGGCAGCTGAACTGCGTGTGCTCTTCGGCTGCAGAATGAGTCAGGCACACTCATGGAAGCGAGGATGAAAAAGTGAATCAGACGATGGGGTGCTTCTACTGAGGCAGGGGACGGGCTCCATGCAGAGAGGTGGCAAAAGCACGATGACAGTGGCTTCCACGGGAGTCTCTCATGAACGCATCCATTCTCCTAATTATGAGCATAAGTCACACACAGTGTGAATGCAGACAAAAAGTATATTGCTGCTTGATGATCGGGCCTCCATAGTTTTCATTTCGAGCCTGATCGGGTTGATGAATATGACCGTGTTGCTTTTATCATTGTTTGCATTAAGGAAACATTAAAAACAAAAGGCTTACTTCAAGCAACACCCAAGAGCACAGTAAATACTATTCATTAGTGATGCTGCAGGTAGTCAATGAACCTGATTTCATACTGGACATAAATCTGTCCCTCTAGAAAGCAGGGAGAGGCAGAAGTCTAATTTTGCTCATGTTCCTGTACTATCACCCAATCTCCCCACAAAAAGAAGCAAAACTCAAATCACCCAGGTGGCCTCTCCCAATCTGTTGATCTTCAGCTGCCTTGTACTATAACTCCCAGCACTCCTTGCCTTTTGGGGTGATGGGAGTTGTGGTCCAACACATCTGGAGGACACCAGCTGGGAATGTTAAAACAGCTACTCTTGCTGGCTGGACCCAAGTAGAATGAATTACAACAAGCATGTAAAGCCATTTTATGGAAGGATTTTATTAATGTGAAATTTGTTCTGGCTTCGTTGCACTGCCTTCCTCAAGGGCTTCAAGCAGCAGCCATAAAAGAGGCCTGAAACTGAAAGCCACAAGGAGTCTATAAAGCTGACTTATTTATGATTACATGTTAAATGCACCTTAACAAACTCAGGGATGGAAGTGCAGCTTTCCATGAAGCTTACATGAGAAATTCATTTCAGCTTATTGTTTGTGAGGATTTACCCAAGTGACCCCATCTCAACTAAATGCAGGGTAGGATACAAGTGTGGTTGAGATCCATATATTTCTGAGCTTGCAATGTGACTCGTAAAGCCAAAAAAAAAAAAAAAAAGGCGGGGAGAGGTCAACAGCATGTGTACCTTTGAAAAATGTGCACAAATAGACATTATCAAAGGAAGACAAATGTATATATGTTGAAGATGTGCAGGACTGATATGTTCAGTTGGAAAATCTATGTATGCACTTTCATGTGTAAACAGAAAGAAAGCTGGCAATCTGAGATGGGTTGGAATGAGCTTCAGGATAGAATTTGGAGAACTCTGGAGAGCTTAATGTTTGCTGAGTCACACATTTTTAATCTTCACTCTTCCATTTTATTCTCCAAGGAACCGTGTGAATTGCATTAGGTAGAGACAAAAAGAGAGTGACTGGATAAAGATTTCTCCCTAGAACACACACACTTCCGCATTTGTGCCAGGTTCTCTCTGCTCACATTCAGTGCTTCAGCCCCTGCGCTACTCAGGTCACCATGTTCCAAAGTTCTGCAATTTGCGATTTGCAGAACTTCCCAGCTCAGGAACTTTGATTTACGTAGCCCTAAACCACACAATGGTGATGGAATGGGGGCAGCAGTCGTTGCCTCTTTGCACAATTGGACCATCCCCGTGGATTTGCAGTGGCAACCAAAACCAAACTCTGAAAACTGGCAGGCCTGGTGAGACCAGCTGCCCGTCCTCACTCCTAAATCACTCTGTCCACTGTTGTGGAGGAAGCCAGCCAACCCTTTGGCATCCACCACAGTGCTGCAGGAAAACATCCCAGATCCATCTGCTGAATAACTTGCACCTCAACACCCTAATATAGCGCACTCTCCTCCTTTTCACTGACTTTCTTCTAGAAACAGTAGTGAGACATGGAGGTGGGAGAGATCTGGACACTGAGTTGAACAGAGGGAAATATTGTGAGCACCACTGGGAAGAAGCAGGGACAGTATAGGAAGTGGTGCTGTGAACTGTAAAGGCAAGAAGGGGAGGAAGGAGGGGGCATTTGCAAAAATTATCCCTCCCCTTTTCTGCCAATGGGAGTACCCAGGGAGAAACTGCTTGGGGTCACTCCTACTGGCAGAATACAAACACTGGCTGCAACCCAAGGCTGACTCCCATTGGAATCAGTGCAACAACTTAGCCATAACTAAGCCTAGGAGAGCCAGAACTTGCAGGGTCAACGCATCAGGCCTCTTTGATTAGCAGAGACAATGATGTCACTTGCATACTTGTGCACGCACACACAGCCTTCTGTGTTCCCTCTCAGCATAGTTGCAATCCATAGTCCTTTCCCCCGTGTAATTGGGGGAAAAGAGGTTTCCCGATAAAAAATATACTTTTGTGAGCTACCTGTGTTGTAATGCAAACTATTTTGAGCTAGTTTATGGCTTTCAAAAAGTCTTGTTCCTGGCAAGGATGAAAACTCCTACAGCTGTTTTTTTTAAAAATATGCATCCAGAACATGACCTGAATTTTGGGACTCTCTTTGTGGGGAGTGGCTCTGGGGACTGTCGTGATGAGCATCTGCACTCCAAAACTGACCACCACACCCCACCACTGCTTAAGTCCCACTGATTCCTATGGGAATTTTGTAAACCAACCAAGGCTGAGCCTAACCCCTAGCTCTGCAGATGGGTGGCATTATTAAGAAGGATCGGGAACCGCTGCCTGAGGACTTGGGGGCCTATTTTCTGGCCAGAAACCAAATATCCTGCAATGCAGCATTTGTTTGTTAAAATCAAACCACTTCTGCCAGCATTTGTGATGCCTGTCTGTCCTCACCAAAGTCATATTATTACAGTCTCCACCACTGCATTTTTCATGCATCTCATATCTAAAATGTTTTTTCTTCAAAGGGGTTCATTCAGCACCAGTGGAAAAAGATGATCATGTTGAAGAAATGGTGAGTAGAAAAGGGCACATCTATTAAAAAATGAACTAAATATCCCTTCACATATTGGGAAAGAGTCTTGCATGCTCCAGTGCATGCAGCTCCTTTGCAAACAGAAATCCCCCACCCCCACTTTCCAGTAGAAGCCTCACATCTTCAAAACTGGTTTTCCATTCACATTAGATTTGCTAAAATTCCCCCAAACAATTTAAAACAGGTCATGGGCTATATGAGCTCTGTTTGACCCTCACCTAACCTACATGCCCTGCGCAGGTGTGACATATTCAAAATGGAGACCACCTGTACCCTGTAGGCACCACAGACTCACTGTGAGTTAAATAACCCACGATGGACACTCCTGCCATGTGAACAGATCCACTGACTTTCCAGAGTTTCAGCCAGCATTCCCTCCTAGCTCTAGTGGGAGTTGGCTGGCATTCAGTGGGGGTCCTTCTGCATGCAAAGCAGGTGCTCCACCAGTGAGTCATGGCTCCTCTCTCACCAGCCCTTTCTTCTCTGCCCCTCTGCAGGGGCCTGTTTCAGATATTCCAGATTCAGGATGTCCATCGTATTCAAAAACTTGGAAGAGCATTCATTCAAACCAAAATAGAGAAGATTTTGCAAACTGGTTCCCTGCAGGTGTGTTTGAACTACAATTCCCATAAGCTCTCATCAGAATTTCACTGGCTGAGGATGATGGGAGCTGTAATCCAAAACATATGGAGGGGCAGCAGTTGCCTACCCCTGCCTTGATGTAATTTGTAGCTCTGCTGTTTCCTTCATTCCTGAAAATATCTCTGTCACATGGCAAATCCAGGCAATATTCCACCCTGAATATGGGAACATCTTCTGCTAAGCTGTTTTCCAATGCTGTGCCAAACTGGTCAATCTAATTACATCTGGCAAAATATGAATAAACAAGCAAATCTGCTATCACTTGGATTCAGCGTATAGTGAGCACAATCAGGGCTAGGATGCAAAATCAGGTGAAATTCTATGCACACTTACGTGGGAGCAAGTCTGCCTTGAACTCAGGGGACGCAGCCATTGAGTGCGCATGCACAGGAGGGCCCTGGCAAATGGCTTCATATCCTCTCCCTCAGAAAGGCCAAAAGATCTATGGCCTTCAATACATCTTGCTTCTGTTAGCAAAGATTGCCCACGTGCCAATGGCATTGGCTCCCGGTTTATTTCCAGACATACTTCAAAGTGCTGGTCTTTCTTACCTCTTTAAGCCCTGGATCAACTCCAGCTCCCACCATGCTTGATCTAATGGGGGCTGGAGCCCTACAACATTGGGAGTTCCTTAGGTTATTCACCTATGCCCTAAATGTTTTGAGACCAGGATATGAAAATGTCTCCCTTCTTGGACAACAAAGTTCCCTTCCTGCACTTTGTCTCAATCCAAGGTAAGTCACAGCAGGTGGGCATGTGAGGAAGGGCCTTTTCGGTGGTGGCATGCATGGCTTGGAATAGCTTTACCCCAGGAGATGTGGATATCCCCCTCCCTTGTGCCTTTGGCAGGCCAGAGGGAGCTGCTGCTGTTTCAGTGGGTGCTTGCTTTTAGAGCATTCTCTGAAACAAGTGTGAAATTAGGCTTCTTCTGGACTATTTTTTCTGGCTGACATAATACTGCCACTATTTCCCAGGCTGGTGATCTTTAAAAATAAATGGTCATCTCCTATTTTAAAATAAAATATGACTGTGATGACCTATTATGACTGAGCCACCTTGAAAGTCCCTTTGAGAATGGAGCATTTTAGAAACAGAGGAACAAAACCGAGGTGGGCCTGCAAAATAATTATGACCCACCCAAATCTGGCCCTGTCATATCGCAGCCTTTGTGCTGCTTTTTCCCCATTTGGAAAGCTTGCAGTGCTTCTCTTAAGGCTTAGTTGCAGGCCATAGAAGCTTTAAGCAAATGAATAAATAATATATAAAATGCTGGCATATTGGACATCCAACAGCTTCTCTTAAAGACAATTTGCTCCCCCCTGGGGGCGGGGAGAGTTTGGCATAGAGGAAATCCCCTGATGCCCCTTCTTCTTTTGCCCTAGCTCACCCGGTGCATTGTAGAAGTCCTTTTGACTGGTCTGTCGAAAGCCAGCGGTCCCGTCAATCCACAGTGCAAGGAGCTTCTGCAGAAAAGTAAGTGGTGCTCTCAAAGCCATCTGATATAGTCGATCCCTGCCTTTCCCTAAGAAAATGATTTGGTGGACGTGAGCATTTTGTCAGCAAAGTCTCAACAGTGGTTCAAGGGCCTGGCTGCAGTGGGCTGCCCCTTAATCAGGTGGGCCAAACTGGCTTTGAGCAAGGTCAGCCTGGCAGGATGAAGAGCTTAATGAAACCAACCCTGAAAGAAGTTGCTTACGAAAACCTAAGTTGCTTACGAAAGAAAACCTAGCAGACATGGCACAAAAGGAAAGGGGACTAGGAGGGAGGAGGACAAAAGCAAATGTGGGTGTTCTAGTCTTGCAGGTCTTGACTGTAGTGCAAGGGGCGCAGCAGCTCCTTCCTTTTCTGATGGTCCCAGCAGTCACTATGAGCAGCAGGAGGGAAAGAGCACTCAGCTGGAGCTGTCTCCAAACCCATGGTGGGGCGGGGGGGGGCATTGATACCTCTGAGTTGCTTCAGGAATCCTGCTGTCAGAATGAAAGTACCCAGGTTTCTTCCTGGAGCATAAACTGCCCGTGACACAGACTTTTTCTCAAGAGAGCCATCCTCTGACTGAGGCAGTGCAACAGCCTGTGAGCAGGCATGACCTGTGTCAAGTTTGGTGACTGAATCACTGAGTGCAAGTTCTCCTGAAATAATTCCTTTACATTATGGGAGTAGGATCTTCGGTGTTTGTCAGCCAAACAAGTTTGCAAATGCAGAGCTGAAGTTACAGATTGCCCAGATATCTAATTTGAAGGGTCCTGACAAAGGGATCAGAGACCAGCGACAATAGAGAGTGGAATGCAGGAAGAGTCAGACCACCAATCCACTTGGCTAAGTGTTGCTGCCACTGGCTGGCAGCAATGGTTCACCTGGGCTTCAAGTGGGATTCCTCCCTAGTCATACCTGGAGATGCTGGGGATTGAACCTGGGACCGTCTGCATGCAAAGCCAGGCCTCTGCCACTGAGCTACAGCTCCAGACCATGGGGAGAAGCTGCTTGGCAGGTTTATGAATGAGGAGCTAGTGAAGAACTGAGCTAAGAAGCGCCTTCTTTTAGAACCCAAGATCACAGTCTTCTTTCACTGTGTCTGTGGTTCTGGTTCTTTTAAATCACTTTCTCAGTGAGGAGGATGTTTTAAAGCTGTTTCTTTAATTTAAACATTTTTAGCACACTCCCAGAGTGCCTCAGAAAGACCAAGAATAGGACAACCCCTGCCCTCCAGCTTAGAATCTAAAAGACAAGACACAAAAGGAAAGGAGATTGGGTGGGAGGAAAAATGCAGTTTCAGGTGCTCCTTCTTAGTTGGGATGTTCTTGTGATGACCTGTTGGAATAGAAGCAGTTCAAGGATAAGAGGAGCCAATGCTGGTGACCCCTAAGCTGATCCAACAGATATCCAAATGTAGCTTGATGGAATCATGTTGCCAAGTTACAGTTGGTAGAGGGAGGAGCCTGGTGGGTCTGATGTCTTCACAGAACTGGTGGAGTGGTCCTGCTTCAGTTACCCCAACTCTTCACTCCCCATTGTTAGACAGGCATAAGTCAATTATGACCATATGGGGAAATGGTCTGTGCTCACTGATTTGTCTTCAGCCTTCCAGAGGAGCAATTCAGGAGGGAGCCAGTATAGACTCAAGTCCAAGCAGAAGGTGCAAACACTACAGCATCCTCATGAAGAATAGCTTGTCCTGTTTTGTTTTGCTTTTCAGGCAACCACCAAAAGCAAGAAGAACAAAATGCAGGCCAAAATCTGGAACCTGACACAAAACACTTAACAGAATCAGAGGAATTGGGAAAATTGTCAGAAGGGAATGTGAGGGGAGAACAAAATCTAAAGGAGGAAGAATCTAAAAGGGAGGCAGGAGGAGATGAGACATGGCACATGGAGGGAGGAAAACATGGGGAAAACAGCAACCCACAAGGCCCCCATTCTTTTGATGAAGCTCATAAAGAAGAAAAAGAGGATGATGGTGAGAAAAGAAGTGAGGATGGTGCCTATAAAAGAAAGGATCCCAGTGAAGAAGGAAGCAAAGAAAAGAAACACAGAGAAGAGGCAGAACGTGACCTTATAGATAAAAAGTCCCATCCCACAGCAGGAAGGGAGGCTGAAGAGGACTACAAGCATTCTGGGGAGCAAAGGTACTTGGAGGGAGTCATACATAGCCAAGAAAAGGGAAATGAAGAAAGCAAGGAAGAAGATACTGAAGAAGATGAAGAGGAGAGCAGTGAAAGATATCACCACAGTGTTCACCAAGAATATGAAGACTCTTCTGAGAGGGGAGAAACTGACATAGATAAACGAAGCCATAAACCAAGGCATTACTATCGGAAACCGAGACTGGGCAGCTCCTCTGAATACAAGAAATATCATAAAGGTGAGAAAAAGGCATCGCTCGACAGGTCGAGTGAGGAAGAAAGTGAGTTCTGGGATAAAAGGAGCCACTACCCTAGACACTATTATAAGACAGGACCTCACTTTGAGGAGAAGAGAAACTCTGATGAGATCCATGGCTCTGAGGCAATGGAGGAAAAGTTAAGGAGTAAAGAGTTTCAGACCAGATGGCCTCATGGCAGAGAGTACAATGAAGAGGAGGACATGAGGCACCACGGCAGGGAGAATGATGAGAAATGGCACCACTTTGAGAGAAAAAGACTCCCTGACGAGCCAGAAAGTGAGGTGAGGCACCATTACGAGGAAAGGTCGCCTCACAGCAAAGCAAGTGAGGAAGATTCAGGCAAGCCACATACTTACAGTGGCAGAGATGAGAAGAGGCCTCAGCATGGCCAAGAGCAACAGCGTTCTCAGCTGGAGGAGATGCTGAAGGCACAGGATATAGAGAAGGAGGGAGGGGAGCAGAGGCTCTACAGCCATGAAGAAGTTCCTCAGGAAGACAAAAGGCGCAATGCTTATGGTGGTGAGGAAGAGCTGGAAAAGAGGCGCCACGTTGAGAGAGAGAAGCATGTTGGCAATAAAAGGACACTGCTGATGGAGGAAGGCTATCCAAGAAGACACTACCTTGTAGAAAACGTGAAAAGAGCAGTTGCCCCCTACATTCCATACTACCAACAGCTCCGGTGGAAGAGCAGAAACACTGAGAAGAAGGACGAGGCCACTGATCCATTTCTGGAAGGCGAAGAAGAGCCCAGTTCCCGCCTGAAAGAGAGAGATTTCTTTCCTGAGTATAGCGACTATGACATGTGGGAGAAGAAGCCGCTTATGGATGGCCTGCATCACAAGCATAATGAGAACAACCATCTTGAGAGGAGCCACCAACTGGATGTGAAAAGGCAATATAACCGGATGGATGAACTGGCTCACCTTCTGAGCTACCGTAAGAAATCGGCTGAATTTCCAGAACCGTACAGCTCCAACGAAGAAGTGAAAAGGGGCCACATCGTAAGGAGTGACGAGGCTAAGCTCAGCCAGAGGCCTCTGACACAGGAAGAGGTAATGTATGATTTTCTAAGAAAGGCTAATACAAATTACCTTGGCTATTAAAAAGCCAAACTTTAATTTCAACATGACTTTCATGATGGTTAGTGATCTGCAATTCACGGTCACTGTCGCCAGAGCTTCTGTTGGCAACCTGATAGTGCGAGCAACATGCATACTGCAAAACCCTGCCTGTTCACACTTCCATTCAAATAGCATGCGGAACCAATCATCCTTGAGTTCCATTTCATTATCTGGTCATGGCTGGCCTTCACTTAGTCCCCAGCTACCCCCAGCTATCATTTACATTTGTGCTTCAGGGGGATTGCTCAGCTGGCTGCAGTCTGCTCCATGTTTACCCTTCAGAAATTGTCAGCAAAACCGAACTCTTAAGAAAAAAGAACTGGATATTGAAACTCAAGGGACTGAGTCTTAAAATTTTGGCCGCAGTCCTATACATATTTACCTGGGAATTAGCTCTAGTGCATTTAGCAGGTCTGACTTCTTAGCAGATATGTATAGCTGAGGACTGCAATTTCAGGCTATTTGACTTGGAGGCTAAGTTAGGCTGCATCATTAAACAAAGTTATTTTGGAGCAAGCCTCATCAGGCACAAGGGAACTTCCTTCCAGTTATAGGATTGTGCTGTTAATTTGGTTCCTGCTTAAATTGCTTATCAACTGTCTGAATGCAAAGCCTGTGTGAGCCAAGCCATACCTTTGATGTTAAAATTATGTTTATGTTTTCTGCCTTGCATTAATTTCTGCATAGTCCGAGGGCATGGCGAAGGTGAGAGGGGCTCTGGTGTGTTGTTTAGCAGCATTGTCCCATGCCCTGTTGGAGGGGCAGGAAACCATTCATTTCTATGGGAGGCCATAATTGCTTGGAGGCAACCTTTCAGGGCCCATACGTCAGTGGAGGGGAGAGCTAGAGCCAGAAATAGATGGGGCACCTATCCTCCATCCCTCCCCCCCCCCGGCACCCCCATCTTTCTTCCCTCCCTCACCCACCTCCTCCTCACCCAGCAGATTGCTGGGACTGGAAACAGAAGATTCTGGCCAAGGCTCTGAACTGATTCCTTGCAGAAGATCTGAGCCTGCGGACAGCAGGCAGCCCAAAAGTTGCAGCAAGTTTCCTTCCCCTGATCTCATGGGTCATGATGATGCAGGGCATCAGATCCTTTCCCGTGCTTTAAATTAACAGCACATGTATGACGGCTAGCAGCTTGCACACAGAAACAGGCAAGTTAGTCAAGATCTTGGGTTGCCATGAGGTGGACACTTATATAGGAAGAAGCATCACTGAAAACAGGAGAGCTAGAATCTGAGAAAATGTTGTTGGGATTGTGCTGTTTATATTTTTCCTTAGTCTTCAGGTACTTTACTTAAGGCATGATAACTACGTCACATTTATATCCTACCTTATTTCCTCCTGTGAGGAACCCAAGAAGGCTTACATAACTCCTTTTCGTTCCCACAACAACAACCCTGTGAGCTAGGTTAGTCTGAGAGGGAGTGACTGGCCCCAAGTCCAGTAGGGACTATAGCCCAGATCTGCCCAGTCCAACAACCTCACTACCATACCAAAGTGGCTGCCAGTTAACTTCTGACTTCTGCTTTCTTCTTGGGCTGTACGATAACATGAATTATTGCCCATTTACTGGGATGTTCGGATATGGAGTCTAAGTCGAACAACTGCCACCCACATGATTGCCTCAATAGTGACATGATACGTGTGTGTGCATATGCATTACAAACATACAAAGACGCACAGACAGAGCTACCCAATGCTTTTTCAGCATAATGAGAACAACCTGCTCTTTAACTGAAAGCAGGCTTTGTAATAAACTTTGCACTTTTGGACAACTGCTCCTTCCTGGGTCGTGCGTCTCCTTTTCATATCATACTTCCTGCCTTGTGACATTTACTGTTATAGAACTAATAAGGTTTCTGCAAAGCTGCCTGTATTTCTCAGGGAGAGCACATTCCAACTTTAAATATTGCATGGTACAGTACAGCGTGTTTCTCCGAAATCACTGAACAAGCAAGTGTGGGGGGTATTGGCATAGTTGCCGTGCCATAAATTGCTGGCCTGAAACAACCCACCAGCTGCATTGCTGCGATCTTGCTGGTTGGAAGGGCCAGTTATTTCTAACACCAAGTATGTTTGTGCTGAGAAATGGCGAAGCTCTGGAAGCAAGCATGAAATAATTGAAATTCAATAACTGGGCAACATTTAATCAACAGCTGCAACCTGGCACTGAAGCTACTAGACTTACATGGAGGGTGTGGGTTGTGTACCAAGAATTGTGTAAGAAGCAAGTCACAAAACATGACCTTACACAAATGTTATGGTGACCCACATTGCATTCCCACAGTGTTATGGGAAGACATTGACCTCTGTATCTAGGAATAACCAGTGTCCTGTAGTGGACCGCAAGTTGGATGTGTATCTTTGACAAAAGTTCGTCATATAAAATGCCTTGGGTATTTTCATAATAAATCAAATGCACAGCAATAAGGGGTCCACTACCAGTTTGTTTCTACTGCAGTCTGAGACATGCTTTCTTAGCTATTAACCAGTTTTTCACTGCAGGAAAACTGACGTGGAGGAAGGTGGTCAGCTTTCAAGGAAGGCAGGTAGCTCCTATGTCCATTGCAGCTTTCATTTTGAACTTCACAGGAACTATTCATGGTGCCCCACAGTGTCAAACCTATGGACAGCTCCTGCAAAGCTTAAAATAAAAGTTGCAGTGGATGAGGAACCCCATTTGTCTCTTGACCTCATCCTCCTCTAAAAGACATCAGTGGGTGATAATAAATGCTATTTATCTCTGTGCTTATAATTTGCAGGTTATTAGCTCCAAAGTCTCTCTCATTCCATACATTAAACATCACAACATAAGACAAGTTGAAAAAAAATTACATGCTTAAACTGTAAACTCAATTTCAACAAAAGAACAAGTTGAAAAGCAAAACAAAACACTAGTTACTAATCTGGGGTAAATGAAGAACCGCTGTTTTGCTCATGAATCTGTCCAGGTACTGATCTTTGCTTCTCTGTCTGCCCTCTGGAGATGAGGGTGACTAGAGAGAGCGCATGGAATCCAGTCATGTTTTGGCTGGTGGAACTGCTTCTGTCAGTACAACTGAAAGGGGGGATTCTCATTCCTCTGTAGCTCCCTGTATGCACTCAGGATCCTCCCTGGGGGACCAAGGAATCTACTGGAGCAGATTTCCGGGGTGCACAGAAGGGAGGCAGATTCCTACTCAGGCAAAGCTGGCTTCCACCCAGCACCTTTCCAGTTGCGGCACTCTGGTGTTGGCATTCCATCCCCTGGAAGCTTTCTTGGGTGCCAGCCTAGTTTTCTTTTCATAGCCAGTGGGAGACTTCTTGATTTGCTGGGCCTTTCAGGTTGCAATTCTGTGACCACAATCTTGGGTGCAAGCCCCATTGAACTTAATGGCTTCTTCAGAAGATTTTTGTTTTGAAAGGCTAAGATAGCATGCTGAACTCTGCACAGCCTCCCCCAGTAGCTTCACATGGGTCAGGGTTGGGGAACCTATGGCCCTCCAAATGTGGACTCCAACCTGGCTAATTCTGAGGGATGGCTAGGGTTGCAGTCCAGCAACGCCTGAAGACCCCCAACATGTCAATTGCTGACATGCAGCTATCTAAAACTGGTGTGGGTAATATGATGTTCTGGCCTACAGCTCCCATCATCCATTACAACTGGCTATGCTAGCTACGACTGGTGAGAGTTGTAGGCTAAATATCTAGAAGGCTGCAAGTCATCTCTTCCTGACTTAGAAGTGAAGATGTATCTACATGGTACCCTGCAGGACATCTCTCGAGAAGTCAGATAGCCATTCCCAAAAACCATCTTCTTTTACCCCCCCAGGCAGGTAGGAGCAGATCTATGGCAATTGTAGGGCTACCAATTCTCAGCTTTGCCAGGTGCAGTGCTAAAGATTTTGGCGATACCAAGCTTCCTGAGAACTCCAAGATCAAAAAGCCACACTGTGAGAAAATTAATGTTTGTAAATGAACGAGGGCCAGATAAAATACTCCCACTTCCTTTGATGTAGCTGAAGATTGCTAAATAACTTCATTGTATTAATTTGTCATGCCAACGTCTATAATGAGAAGTAATTGAAAGATGCGATGTCATAACTTACAAGCCTTTTTCTGTTCTTCACAGGAGAAAGAACTGGAAAATCTGGCTGCCATGGATTTGGAACTGCAGAAGATTGCCGAGAAATTCAATAATAATCACAGAGGATGAATCATGCTTGGCCTAACAGGAGCATGGTAAAACATAGCTCTATTTACAGTAACCTATATTTATTGCTCAAGTCACTGCCATCAGTTTTGTTCTCCTTCCTTTCCTAATCAGAAATGTAGCTTATGGTCTACAGAATATATGAATTATGCAGGGACAACCATCTTTACATTCCAGATATGCTGACCTGATCTTTCTAGCATGAATTCCAGTATACAGAAGACCTATGTGCAAAGCAGACATTTTGAAATGTGTGTGGAAATACTTGTGTTTGTGCTCTTTGGAAATATGTTCCATCTTGGTCTGAAATAATAAAAAGCCATTCCATTGTCCACAAGAGGACATTCTTGCCTGTTTGTCTCCCTTACTTGATTTGCACTGTCAGGTGAGCAAAGAGAAGAAAACACGCAGCTGTTTCTCATGTGCAGCCACTCGCGTGTGACACGCACCCGTCACTCCATTACAGGGGTGAACACAGTCAGGCAGTGCCGGCTTTGGGAGGTGTGTGAATAATCTTTTTCCACCCTCAGCAGAGCATATCGCTAAGGGGCATGGTGAACACAGTTGTAGAACTCACCAGAAACAGAACTCATGCCTGGACATGAAAATAGGTGGATGTATTAAGAGAAAAGTAAATGGGAAACTGACAAAAAGTCCAAGGAGGTTAGTAGTAATGTCTATAGAGAGGTCTCTTTAGCTTTGCCACTATCCTAGCCCCATTCCGCCACCTACTGTGCATTCAAAATACTGCTTACTTGTTATTATTTCAGCATTGCATTACATCTTCCTCTTGTGGGGACCTCCTCCACCACATTTTATCCTCACAGCAATCCTGTGAGGTAGATCAAGCTGACAATCCTTTTGGCTGACCCAAAGTAACCCAGTGAAGCTCATGGGTAAGTGGGACTTGAACCTGGATCTCCAGGGTCCTCAGTCCAGTCACTGTGTCACCCTCGCTCTCTGTGACACCCCCAGTCAGCTATTGTATGCGGCCAAAGTAAGCGGGACAACAACAAACATGTAGAATTTCTCCCAGTGGTTCCTGTTCTTCCGATAATGAAGCCAAGGTTGTCTTCAAATCTGTAGCTGGGTGGGCGGGCTGTTTGTTTCCTCTTAGGCTGTTCGCCTGCCTCCTACAGGGAAACAAGAACATGTCTGAGCATTGTCCATGGTTAAAATAAAATATGACAACCAAAGCATCCTGCAGTTTTGCTGTCCTGCTGTGGGAAATAACACCTCTGCTCCAGCATGAATCTTTGCAGCTTGGAAAGTCTCCCACTTTGCTCTCCGCTTTCATTCTTAACATCTGTCAGCAGCAGCAAGGCTTTGCAACACTGATCCTGGCAGGTTTCATTTTAACCCCCTGGGGCAGTGTGCACCAAACAGAAGCGTAAAGCCTATGAGTATTCCATTACAATGAAATGGCAAGGTCCTGCTTCTCTATAAGGTTATCTAGACCCTCCCCCAGACAAAACAGCTTACATGCCCAAATGCTATTTACTAAAAACGTTAACAAGAGCAAGAGCATCACACAGAACTGGGAAGATGCACTTCCCAGAGAGAATTTTTTTTATTTTTTTTATTTTTTGTGTTTCCTGACAAATGTTGCAAGATACAGGCTGTTCCCAAGAGCTGCGCAGGGCTGTCAAAGGCAGGACATTTTGCCGGGAACCTGTTCATAGGGTTGTCTTAAGCTGGAGATGACTTGATGGCTTGTGAGAACAACAAAGATTCAGGTTACATACTTGTGCAGAATTTAGGTGATGGGCAGCCATCACACAAAGGCAAGACCTCTTTTGGGGGTATAGAGGGGATTTTTTAATGCCAGATTAAGCTATTCGTAGAGTTTGGCTTCTAAGATTGTTATTAAAATAACCCCGTAACATTAGTAGTTGCTACTCAGTCATTATGTACCACCGCAATCCATCATCAATAAAGTAAGCTTCAATACTTATTGAAGGCAGCAGTCACATTTTATATTCCAAAACTTGAATTGCAATTAAGGGTCCACAGGAATTATTGGGTTCCTTTCATTTCCTAACATAGTAAAGATAAGCATTCTTGGGGTGGGGGCACGTTTATGTGCTGATACAAACTCTTTGTTCTTCAGGTTTACAAATAAGGAAAACGATACTCTTATGCATACACCCCCTCACCTTGCCTGTCCTAATTCAAATCTTCATAGTCTTTAAAAATATGAATTTTCTCCCCCAAAGGCTGAGGTACCAGAAATCAAGCGGGGTGTGGGAAGGAAGGAGTTCCAGAAGGGCACAGATGTGCAGCCTTTGAGAGATGGGAAGAGGCAGGGCATTGAAGCCAGTGCCTCCGACTGCTGCAGTTGTGGTCTAGTTTCCTTCACTGGTGACCCTTCAATTAGCTGTAGGCAGTTCAAGCAAGCTACACAGGGCCATGCCTGGACCAGTACACAGATTCTGTATGGCGAAGCTCCTGTTCTTAGAGACCTCAGAAAACATACACTGTATGTGGCAACCTAGGCAGTGGCCGTGCAGGAAATAGTATGGGGGGCAAGTGATCCTTCCATTCCCACCCAGCCATGCTGGGAAAGTGTGCAGTGGGGACCCAGGCAAGGCTTTGTCTGTTTTCAGTACCAACTTTGGTGCTAGCCTGCCTGAGCAAGTGGTCTTCTGGATCAGCCGAGCTGGCAAACCATGCCTCTATGAGTTGGCACGTAAGAAGGGCCCAGCCAAGGAAGGCAGGGTCCCTTTTTCCTCCTTTCAGCTGTTACAGCTCCCCACGTTCCATACAATTCTGATCAACCGATAGGATTGCAAGATTGTGTACAACTGTTGCACCATCTGTGCCAAAGTAAGCCCACCTGCTCCCCTTCCTATACCAGCCCTGTGGCAGCAGGCAAGATGCTGCCAGAAACTGTGAAGGCTGAAGTCAAGGGAGAATGACTGATGTTGGAACCTGGTTGCAAAATCATGACTGATCTGTTGCCCAAAGGCTCTCTCACTGCAGAAGCAGTGCACACAAAACGAGATCTGCTTCTGGGGCCATCATGATAAGCAGGAGAAACAGCTTGGTTGGATTAACTCAAAGATGCAGGTGATGGGATGGAACTAGGAAGTCTTCTTAGTTTCCATGAAGTCAGGTGGGCCATACAGCCACCTTAAAGAGGCAGGATAAAGACATTTGTAAGCAGCGATAAGCACTTTCTTAAAAGGAGATCTGTACCCCAATGTAAATTATCATTGTGATGCGTGTGAATGATATAATGGTTTGTTGAAAAATCACTTGCTTCAAACTGAATTTGAACTACAATGTTTCACTGAAATATAAATATATTCATCTCCATCTTTTATTATGTACCACCCAGATCCTTCATATGGGTACACAGATGACCACACTTGGTGAAGTGCTTTCATGAGTTCAGTCCAACTCTCACTTGGGATGACCACTCATAAAGCAAGACTTCCCACCCTGCTGCAGCACTTCATGTGCACCCCAAATCCACCTCAGTGTCCTACAATCTGTGGGGCAGAATGGGATGCTGAGGAAAAGCAAATTCATTCTGCCAGTGGCTCCTTCCAGTGATGGAACAACACCACTGGATACAACTCCATGTTTCCACACTTAGAAGAAAAATATCTTGTATTACAAAAAAATCTTATAATTTATTGAAATGCAGATTTACAAATCATCATAAATCCCATATAGCAATACAAAGTTGTCACATATTAAAAAAAGGAAAGATGGGAATCAGCTTTCATTTAAAAATTAGTAAATGAAAACAAATGATTGGTATATTAAAATTTACAAATGTACAGCTGATGGTCCTTTGTTCTTATATTTAGAAAAGGCAAAATATACAATATTTTAGCATCAATGAATTTTTTCTCATTAGTAATGGCTTTGCAACATTCATTTCACTCAGTGAAATAACTTGTTTCAGGAGTCTGAAGTAGAATCAGAGATGAATAGGACAACATTTTTACCCAAGAGAAGCTGCAGTGAGATTAAAAAGGAGCTGTAATAAATATGGCATTTGACTTCAAAAACAAAACACTGTTTTGTATAGTGATGTTTCAGTCAGAGCCTGTAACATGTTCAGCAAGAGCAGTTCTTGGAGTTAAACTGTGAAGTCTTTCATCCAAGAAGATGAGAAAACATTTTTAAGCTATGGAACTATCAGAGTTGAAGTTGGTTTCAACAGCAGAGGATTCCAATAGTAGGTTGCCCTGATGCCCTTGTTCTGCAGCAAACTTGACCCTAGCAACAAGGGCAAGGTACTGTACACACCTCTGTGCTCTTAAATACAGTTCAGCAATAGAATACAAGGGTTGTTTGTGACTGAAAACCCCCCAGTTTTTTAAGTGTCAGCAGTGTTCTTGAAGTTTACGTTTTTTAGATTCAGGCTCTTCAGGCTTCGGTTCCGAGTCGTCATACATTTTTATACTGTCCTTCACAACAGTGATGCCTGTCAGAAGGTACCCACCGCCACCACTCATCACCAGTTTCGGATGACTTCGATCCGGCAAGACCTTCACAAAGGACAAGACATGAACACATCATCGTGACTGCTCTGCACAGTTTAAGGAGCAACAACACACTTATTCTGCAAGTTTGATGGGTCCCATCATGTAAAAGAATTCAGGAGTATACTTGTACACTTGCATGACACTCGTAGTTGTAAAAAAAGCCCCACTGCAGCAAATCAGGCAGATGCACTACAGTGACTTTAAAAAGGTCGCTTCTCCTCCAGCATTTCTAAGTGTTGGAAGCCCTGCCAAACAACTCAGGAAGGGACATTTCTTGGATGGCAGCAAAACTAGATGCACAATGGAAGTGATGAGCAGGCAGAAGGCAGCATGCTCAGACACTCGCACCCTCAACAACACAGTGGTTACCTGAGAATGGAGTCAATATCACCACGTCACAAAAATGCCCTTAAATGACCAGTGGGAACACTGTTAACCCCTACAGGTTCTTCCATTCGACTACTAGCTATGACTATATGAACAGATGAAGCTACTTTATACAACCAGAACACTGGTCCATCTACCACAGGAAGCCCAGCTTTGACCATCACTGACCTCAAAATTCTTGAGATGGCTAGGATTCTTTTTAGGTGGAGATGCCAGGAGAAGAAACTTGGACATTTTGCAAAGCATGAGCTCTTCTGATATACTATACCCCTCCCAGTTTCTTCCCAGAGGCAACTTTAGAGATACAATACCACTAAGAGCTGTATTTCATTTTTAGAAGTCTTATGTCTAAAATTATACTTCTAAATTTGCATAGATTTGAAGGTCTGAATATTCTTCTTAGAAAGCTAACAAGACTTGAAACATCTGTATCGACAAATTGCTTAAATGCCATTTTTACTTTCTCAAATTCCTCTGTAAACCTGACAATAGAGATGACAAAGCTTTTTAAAGGATCTCTTTGGAATAGGATTTCAACATCACCCTAAATATTATTATATGAATGAACCTTTCCAAAACCATCTGACCCTCAAAACTACATTTAACCATTTTTTTAGAGCAGACAAATAGAAATACCAGAAATGCACAGAAATACCAGAAAATTCATTTACTGTATTTTAGGTTTTCAGCTGACAAAATTACACATTGTTGTATTAGTCAGCTTAAAATGCAGTGCGCAATAAGCTTCTAATTTCTAATGAACATCTTGTAAGGACCATGCCTTAAAATTGGGATACTTTAAGTGAGTAAGTTGAACTCTGCCACTTCACAGGTCATGGAGGCAAGTCTGTTGGGACATGCAACCTATGGCTTATGGTAGGGGTAGTTCTTGGTTGTTTAACACATGAGCAATGCAGAGTGCTCAGGTCTGGATGCCATGCTCACCACCTACAATCAGGGCATTTAAGGGTTTTTCCCAGAAAGCAGAAGTGGTTTGGGCACGGTGTGTGTCCTGCTGGGGATGCACAAGGGGAAGGCTCTCATGCCTAGCAGTCCTGAGGGTTGCATGCTAACTCAAGTAGCAGAGGTGGTGTGCCTATGTACACCAATAGCTGTGGAACCTGGGCAGGAGGGTGCTGTTGTTCTCAGCTCCTGCTTGTGGGAGCCTATGGGCAACTGAATGGCCGCTTTGTGAAAGGGTGCTGGACTAGATGGACCTTGGTCTGAGCGAGCCTGGCTGACAGACTTGTGCAAAAAGTGGCCCAATCTATTGCCCCATTTGTCCCCCTTTTTATGATCTTAATTGTTCTCAAGTAAAACTCCTCCCTAACAGTTCTTTACTGATGAGAGGAAGCTTGCCAATGCAAAGGAGCCAGTGAGCTATTGGGAATTATGTATTGGACAGTCTGTGCCTGTTTGCTTAGAATGTTAGCTTAGTGCCTGTGCTTGCACTTCGTAAAGCAGAACAAGGTAAATGACCATTTAATCAAGCATTTTTCTTAATTAAATATTAGCATTCCATATCCTATTGTGAAGCTGAGTTAAATATCAGTGCATTTGCTTTGGTATTATCTGCATTAAAAGTGAGAGATTAGAATAGGGCGGGGAGAATGTGAGGGTTTTTAAATTAACATTACTTTAATTAATTAATATATATTTTTTAATTTCCATACTGGCTTGTGTTCTGCAATTCTTACCTGATAGTTTCGTAACCATGCCTCAGAAAGTTTCAGATTAATGACACCACCTCTTTCTTTTAGTTTTGTGTAGCATTCAATTAATGGCTAAAAAATAGAAAATTTGGTTACATGAGCTTACTGGAAGAGTGATAAACATAGTAAAATGAAAATGTAATGGATTCACCTCTTTATATTGGCAGTAGACAACAAAAGGCCTCGAGGGAGCAAGAAATTCTAATAAGGAGAGCAATAAGGGCGAAGGATGATATCGGCTGGCTACTATTAGACTGAAACAGAAAGTTGTACACAGGTTAGCTGAGTTCCCTAAAATATCCAAAGGTTTGTTAGTCATTGGTTGTGCAAGTAGCATTGAAATAAGAAAGGTAATCATGTAGCAATAGCTTGCGCCCTAAAATAAATCAACTTAAAGAAGTTTGTGGAAGTTCCTCACCATTACCACCTCCCGAAAAGCCTCTCTAAATAACATGGGATGGAGCACTGAGTGCTGCTTGCTACAAGGAGAATGATCCAAAATCAGGCAAAGTTGGTCTTTTTTGGGACAGTGCCCCCCCCCCCCCGCTGCACACTGGTTCAGGACCACCTCCACTCACTTTAGAAAAGGACAACAACTCCCAAGGTTCCTGATCATAGGCTATGCTGGCTGAGGCTGATAGGAGCCGTAGTTCAAAATACCTTGTGTACACAGAGTTGTCCGCTACTATCGTACAAAGGAAACCTGTTGCGTCCTTTTATGGCATTGGTTTACTGCTAGAGGTAGCTTACATCAGCAGTACATCAAGAGTATAACAAAAGTAATAGTGTTGCATATTCCCAGTGAATTTAACTACAATTCCATGGATAGGCCAAGCTATTTAATGCAATTTATATATTGGTAACTCCATGTGTAAGAGAAATAACTGATAAGAAACTCAAAGTTTCCAGCTTTTAACTGCTACTAATACTAGTTTCCAGCTTTTAACTGCCCCTTAGCTTACAACAGATAGATAACAGACTGGGGGGAAAGAATAACTAGCAAGAGATATAGGCTGTTCTTAAATTTATGATTAAGCAAACCCTAAACTAGTTAGGGCAAAATCCTATGCAAGTTTAGACCAAAAAAAAAGGCCTACAATTGTCAACATACCCCAGTCAACATAGCCTTTTTCCTTTCTAAACTGGAATTGGATTGCACCATTATGGATCTCTTTCCAAGCCATAGCAAATTTGCTTTGAAAGCAATTGATAGAAAATCAGCTGGCAAGGTTTAATTGTCCATCGTTGTCAAACTCACCCATCAGCATCTCTGTCTTTCAACAGGGAAGCAGCCGCTATTAACTTTTTCCTCCTCTCCTCTTGCTTCTTTTGTTTGTCATATGGCTGAGAAGAACATTATTTTTGAGCTTTTAAGTAGTTTAAGACATTTGACTATAGACATGGGGTTCTAAAGAAGTCTCTTTCACACAATTTTACCTAAGTGCACAGGAGACACATCTGCTGTGGGATGCTTTGATCTTTAGTTTCCAGGTTCTTTAAAGTTTAAAGGACTATTCAATGCAAAGTAGAAGTGTTGTGTAAAGTAAGATCTGTTCCAGGACTTTTCACCAGGACCAGCCTCAGTGAACCAGTAAATCTAATGCATCTTGACCTTAAACAGCAGTGCTTTAAGGTGCAGTCAACTATACCACCTCCCAAAATACAGCTGCTTAGCAGTCACAACATGCAACTTTTTAGGGTCATTAAAACCAACAGAACACCCTTCTAGCCTGTTGCTTCAGAGCATAAAAGCTTTAGAGCAAACATGGGCAATACATGGTGCACAGGCCACATCAGTTCCTCCTACCTCCCGGCTGATCATGTAATCTGGTCTCCACTGCAATTGCACTTTCTGGTTTCTTGCTTCCAAGAAAAATCACCGGGATTTAGGCCATGTGGCTACTTGCAAAAACAGAAGGAAGTGGGCCCCACAGGGAACCCTCAAGATTGCCCCCTCTGGCTTTAGACTACGATGGACAGACAGCTGCCTACAAGTCAGTAAGTTCTAACAAATTGGTATACTAGTATGATTAGTATTACATGACTTGACACAATACATCATTAATCTGCTCCTGCTAGTAAGGCTGGTGAAGTTAAATAAAAACACCACCACTGCATTTATACCTGTCCTTTTTCTTCTTGCAAGGAACTCACAGTGGTTTACAAAGTCTACCATTCCATTTTATCCTCACAAAAACAACCCCGTGAGGTACGTTGGGCTCAGAATGAGTGACTGGCCCAAGTCTCTCAGTGAGCTTCATGGCCAAGCAGGGCCTAGAACCTTCTTCTCGCAGGTCCCCAGTCCAACACCCTCACCACCACACCACACCGGCTCTCCTACAGGGTAGAGTCAAATTGCGTATAACGTACATGTTGGAGGAGAATTTTGCAGTTCTGTCAAAAAGCCATGATAACTGACACCAACTATGAACACACAGAATCAATACAGTGACCAGCCAGCTAGTAACTACACATAAAAAATGCCCCTGAGATAGACTGAGAAATTGTATGGTAGTTTGAAAGTGAGGATGGGGTATGAAATCTTTCAGACAAAGAAAGCATAAACAAAAACTGTTTGGCTCGATCCTTAAGTGACGTTTTCTTGACCACAGCAGCTAAGAAGTTAATCAGCATAACTTACCAGTCCCTTTGCTTTGTTACTCTCCAATGCTTCCCCCGCAGCTGGAACATCCAGGGTTTCTTGCTCTTCGGGCTGATTGCTCTCCATTGCAATCTCAGCGCCACAGTCTGTATCTGCTTCTGGCAAGGAATGCTGCTTGTCATCCACTGACCCATCACTATCATCTGCTGCAGGCATATTTTCTTCAGACTCAGAAGGCAGAGATTTCAGTGACAGCGTTCCAGAGAGAACACTCATCACTTCGCTGAGCGGGAACTCATAAAGTGTATGGAAAAAAGATTCTGGGAATCCAAAGCAGCTTGTGGCTGTCCTAACAGGTCCTCCTCCTGGATACATCTGAATAATGGATCCATACCCTGTAAGCACAGGTGGAAATCAGCACAGCACATGTCCTGATTCACACTACTGCACTGCAGCAGTCAAAATAAGCCCTTCCTACCTACAGAAATATGTTTCATATGAAACATGTTTCCTCAGGTGATGAAAGCACCCTCACAAGCATGCCTTTACAGAACCTTTGCACCATCGCCTCAAACAATATGTCAAGGGCAGGAGCATTTACTACACATTCAGCTGTAAATTACCAAGTCTTGACTGCAACATGAAAAGGGATATAATGGCACAGCGGGGGGCTTGCTCACAGAAGCAGGTGATTTTGGTTCAACCAGAGATGGAGAACAGGAATGTAAAACCCTGCAAACGTTACAGCGTCATGGTGTAGATCCGGAGAGCCTACACCCAATTCCACACACCCAAAAGAGATTTTGGATTTGGCCACACTATGCTGGTAATGACTTTTTTCTTTAGGCTACCTTACTCCAGCAAGCTGTTTTTTGTTAAACAAAATAAAAAGCAGGGAAGAGGAGGAGAAGGAGAAGCAAGTATTCTTCAATGGCTTCCTACTGTGGGGGGGGGGGGGCGGGATTTCCATTTGGTTACAATTGTCTTATTTGTGGAAGTGCTTTTACTGTGTGAACTCCTTAAGGGCAGGATAAAAGATCATGTTTTGGAAAGGTCAAGTATCTATGTTACCATACAGCTTGAATGTACATTTAAATGTTCACAGCACCATTCCAAAAGAAACCAAGCTCTGCACACCATCGGGCCTGTTGCTCTTACCTCCCATTCTCTCCATGACAGCACCCAGCACTAATCCTGCACAGGTTTCCATTACAATCATCTTGTTACCAGCACGGACATTTCCCCAAGTCAGCATTTGGGCTAGAGTATCGTATCGCAAGTAGCTAGAAAAACAAAGGCCAACGAGACTGTAAAGATACAGGACCGTTATTTGTGGTTTCTGCAGTGTATGGGGCCGTCAAGTGCTGTGACTGACACAGCCTGCTGCTGGTTCTGCTGCTGAGAATCCCCGTGCCCAGCAGAGATGCTTACAGAGTAAATGTACTGGTGGTATTTCTTAAGCCTCCAGAAGCAAGAAGACAACAAAGCATTAAATATTTCAGCATGAATCTTTGGATTCTTAACTCGATCTTCTGTGTCATGAGTCATAGGGATCATTTTTAATATCAGCCTGTCCTTTTACAATATAAAGTTCATCTGCTTCTGACACTGCCTGTCCTTTTACAATGTAAAGGTTACCTGCTATTGACATTATTTTATTTCAGCCTTTGCTGATGTGTGGCCTTCAGACAGTTTGGACTACACCTTCCATCATCCCTATCTGGTGGCTGGAGCTGGAGAGAGCTTCAGTCTACAATATCTGGAGTTTGAGGAAGGTTGCTTTATATTTCTGCTGACCAAGTAAGAAAAGATTGATAGGAATTCTAGAATTCTTGCTCCCAGAATCTAGAAATGTGATCACTGGATGGATCCCTGTTACAGGACTGTATCAGAAGACATTACAAATACTAGATTTCCTCTCAGAGATAAAGCTTGGTAAATAGGGCAAACCAAAATTTGCTTTTAATATCTGCAATCTCTGAGCATTTCCTTCTACAAGGAAGGAATTCTTGTGGCTCTGTCAACAGCCCTCAGACCCTAGATCAGGGGTACAGAAAGTCTTTCAGTCTAAGAGTCAAATCGCATGTGGAGAAAATTTTGGGGACTGCATTCTAGTGCTGGGTGGGCCAGAGATGAAAGAGGCGGGACCAAATTACCAAAATAATGGCATATTTTAGCTGAAAGCTCTTACTGCTGGTAATTAACCCACAGATTGCTGAGTCTCCGAGCCGAGAGAGAGATGGTACTGGTTTTGGTACAGGCAGCAGTAAACACCCTTCTTCATGCTACAGTGGCACCTAAGTGGGGATGGTGGGTGGATTATGTACATTCACAAGATGTTCAATTCAATCCACTAATCCACTTAATAATATATAGAACCAGAGATCTGTCATAATTGAGGCCTATGCCAGCAGAAGAGTCTAGGCCCTGACTGTTGATACTAAGTGAAAGGGATGGTTCCAAACATCATTTTCATCATCCCACTAATAAGACCAACAGGGTGACACGGACCACTCGAAGAATACCTCAGTCTGAGAGAGGGGAATGTGATTTTTCACAGTATTAACAACAGCCACATTTGAATTGTTGCTGCCAGGACCAAAACCCTGTTTGAGAGCTGATAGGAAGCTCCAGAGCATCACAAACCTAAGGAGGAGAGAGATGCCTAATCTTTCCCTCAGAGGCAGAGGCAACTGGAGCTGACTCCAATGCCAGACAAAGCAATGTACGGGTGATGGTGGCGGCAGCAGCAGCTGAACTGGAGAGGACTGGTGGGGCTCCCTTAAGTGCTAAATAGAGGAAGCAGTCTCTTCCTCCTCCTCCTTTTTCATCTGCTCAGAAGATCCTGCCATTGCAGATCTACTTCAGGGTGATGAAGTCCCTTAACTTCTAGAGCCCTCTTCCAAAGGAGAGCCATTAATCTGTTTCTCCTGGTGAAAGCCTCACAATGTAGACCAGGATAAATGGTATGCCCCTCACCCAGGCAGTGGAAGAAGTGACCGCTGGTTGATGGAAGTTTTCTGCCAGAGCACACAGCTGTCTAAGGAATAGGTGGGAACCTGTTAATGAGATACAGAGCGGGAGGGCTCCCCCCAAAATTTCCTCAGCCGTAGAAGCTTTCTACATCAAGGATCTGAACAGGTGCACAGCCTATGTGTGTGATGCACGGAGACCACAAAAGCTCTTGTTCCGAGCTGCCTGTGGTTCAATTTTAATGGGAAGAGATTTGCAGAAACATATGCAAACACAAGAAAGAAGCCCGGAAGTGCAAGTGCACAGTTCTCAAGGCCACAATGTTTATTACTGTTGATGTTCTCAGAAGGAAGAACTGATGGGTACAAATTATAGTAACATTCCTAAGGAAGTGAGATGCAGAGATATGGGTCTAACTTATCCATATTTCTACCCTAGCAGAGAGCCACTCCTCTATGCAGCAGGATAATTTTAGGGTGTCTCTACTTAAAAGCATTAAGTGTGCCTCTTTCTAGAAATGCAGTGCACATTACAAGGGGAAACCCTGCTAAAAAGGCCCATCTTACATAGAACTGACTGTGCAAAGTGTGATTAACTGAAACTTTTGCAAATTCTTGTGAAAAAGCCTTAAATGGGCACTGTTCCTCCCCGCTTTGTAACTTTTTCTGAATTCATCACTAGTTCGCTGCAGCTCTTAGCTGTCAGTTTTAGCAAACTTTGTGCATAATTATAGTAAAGTGGTATAAATCTTCATTCTTCATCTACTAATACTATTAGTTGAAAAAGCATGGACACTGAGAAGCATTTCTGCCTGTTAGTTGTTCATCATTGCTTTCTTGGTAAGCGCTGGCCACTTATACCATTAGCCAAAGCCACACTGATGCATATTTGTTTTCTCAATGATTGATGTCAACATTAAGATCAAACCACCCTGCTTTGTGTAGGAGCTCATGAATGGACAGCCCTGCCTCACAATACAGGGTTGTACTAAATTGCTTTTTTGGTCCTTGGAACTATAATTCAAAGGCAGCCAGGATCCTATAAGAAAAGCTACTGCCTTGTATGATGGATTGCTTCCACCAGCAGCTAAATCAAGCTGAAAACATCGTAGAGAACAAATAAAATACTGTGGTTACAAGACAGCTGTGTAATGGATGCATGGCACAAACATTAACAAGGTTTACTCTTGGTTTTGCAAAGCTTCTTGAAGATGAGGATAAATTTGTTCATACCCAGAAAAATAAGGGTCCTGTATGTTTTCTTAATACAAACAGACAGGAATGTGTAGATTATGTTATTTTGGAGGAATAGTCTAAGGTTTCATATACCAGTTTGGGTGTATGACTGAGATATGATGACTTACTTGATTTTTCCTGGTTCTCTTGCATAATACATTGTTGACAGAATACGTGTAGATGGTTTGATGACTGTAATAACTGCCTCATATCTGTGAGCAAAGCACAGCAATGGTGTTAAACTTACAGATGGTGATTTGTGAGGTGCTAAATGTTCTTTTTGGTTTCTAGAAGCCAACTTACTTTTTTTTCTTTTTCTTGATGTATTTATCCTGGGCATATTCGGTCTTGTCTCTGAATGAGGTGCTGTTTTCTATCAACTGTTGAACTATTTCCTTTAAGAAAAATACCTTTAATCATATGTTTTCATGCATTATGCTTCACTAGAAAAAAGTTTCATTTTAAAAGCAAAGTATGCAAGCAATATCTAATAAAGTTTAAACATTATTGGTTAAGTATTAGAGTTCAGAGTTGGTAGAATAAATTAAATATGTTTATTTTCCGAAGGAAAAATGCCCTCTGGAAATACTCAGACAAAAAAGGCACACCAATCTGCAAACTGAGCTCTTTCCCAAGCTTCCAGGCAGGCCAAAGGAGAAATTCCTGTGCCACCTGAGAACACTATGAAGGTCAAAGGAGAAAAGCCACTAATTAACCTTCCCCAAATGGTGAGATCACAACACCCTGGATTCCCGAACGTTGACCATGGTGGCTGGGGCTGACTGATGTCCAAATCATGTGGAGGACAATAAGTTGGGGCTGGTGTGCCAGAGTCTTCCAAGATACAAGACAAGTCCTTTCATTCCAAGTTACAGCCACAATGTCCTATGTCTAACCAAGACCCAGCTGTGTGGCAGTGGTGGAATGGGAGCCCGGTTGGTGGTAGCGCACATGCTCTATCTGCATCTCCTAATGGCACAGCACATATAACACACACCCTGCATGCAGAAGGTCCCTGGCTCAGCCTTGACAACCTCTAAAAGGATCAAGTAGCAGGCTCTTCAGGAGACCCTGGACAGCGGCTGCTTGTCAGTGTAGGTAATATTGGGTGAGAGGGACAGATAATCTGGGCAGGTATAAGGCAGCTTCCTACATCCCAGTTAGTGCAGTGGGGCACATAGAAGAGGAGCAGGGTCATGCCCTTTCATTTTCATCAGAAGGTACTGTATTTACACAGTTGTAATGCCGAGCAATCTACTTTTCGCAGCACACCTCTAGGGAAAAGGAGGCCATGCAGTGTAAATGGGAAATGCAACATTGCTGAAAGAGGTTATTTCTGGTTTTAGCTTCTGCCTCCTCTCTGTGCCATGTGACACAATGATAGATGGCTGCAGTCTACTCAGATTCGATTAGATGCAGCAAAGTGTCCTGCCTAACAGTGAGAATTGTGTGATCGTCTGTCCTAGGAGAGAGGAAGAAAGCATGAACATCAGTTACCTGTCCTTTAGTGCCTTTATCCTTCAAAGCCTTTATATCATCGTGAGTCAGTTTCTGAGACTTTCCATCATCAACAATATTACGATTATCTGTACCTGCTTCTTTTGTTTCTAGAAAAAAACATGTACAGATGTATGAAACATTACTGATAAAACATGAAGGTTCATGAAACATGAAATGTAAGAACTATTCCTGGAAAGTTTTTTAAAATATCCTAACTTGTTCCAAATCTACTGCACTGTTCAGAAATACAGAAAACTGCAGCTGTTTCTTGGCTTGCTTGTGTCCCAAATTGAGGAGTAAAGAGGGTGTGTGCACTGGGAAAAGTGTTCATTCCTATCAACTTGCTTCCCAGAGAGGTGCACCTGGCACCCCCTATATTTACTTCGGTGCCAATCCAAAATCTTTTTTATTTGCCCAGTATTTTACTGGTTAGAATATTTTTATTACCGTACTTTTCCATCTATAAGACACCCCCATGTATAGGATACTCCCCACTTTTCTTACCCATCTCTGAGTGAGCTGCTGCCGCTCCCACTGCCTCGCTGCCCCCCTGCACGCCCACAGTTCTCCTCTCTGCCCCTCGTGTATAAGACGTCCCTCCATTTTGAAGTAAATATTTTAAAGTAAAAGTATCATCTTACACACAGAAGAATACGGTACATATTTTTATATATTGTTGGATGTGATTGTATTCAAGTGCTGTTGTGGATTTTGCTGCCCTTGTTATTGCTGTTTTAATCTTTATGTAAGCCATCTAAAGATCTTGTTTGGCTATAAGACAGAAATTAAATGCTTCAAATAAATGCATACATACAAGCACAGATTATAAAGGCAAGTAGGATAATCTGAAGCAGCCCATGTAGTTATCTCCAGGAAACCTCAGTGACTCAAAATCTGCCTAGCCAGCATCAACAGTTGTTCATCTGATATCCTCTCCAATCATACCCTTCTAAGGAATAAACATTCATTCCTGGACAACTGGTCTCATTTCCCTTGGCTTTTTCCAGCAAGGCATTTGGTGGAGTGGTACCTTCCACTCCTAATAATAGATAGTTGAACCAATGCTAGTTTGATGCAGCACACACATAAAACAAGATGGTCTAATTTAATTTTTAATTCTAGTAGGGCAGAGATTACCCCAATCCTAAATATGCTGCGTCTTGGCCAGGGATAGTACCAGAACTTCATATTGAGATAAATAAGGAAAATAAAATGCTGCTTTTGCAATAGATTTGAAACTAATCAAGTGAACCATAGAAATGATTAAGTTAGCAGTAAGCACTGTTAAAAATCAAGGAGGCGTATCATTCGTAGGGCACAAGTAGCCTGGCCTTAAGGGTGGAAGGTATTGTGCTGACAAGAAAGATAAGTGAACTGATTATGCTGACAAAAGGATTAAGTGGAAACCTGAGGGGAGTGATGACATGCCTGGAACAGATGATAAAAGACATTTGGGCAGTAAAAAGAGGATCTAAAACCATATAAGGTAGAAAACAAAGGATGGACTAAGGTCTTTGAAAATGTGGTAGTGGGAGATGTAAACAGGGGCGGTCTTTCATGTGGTCAGTTTCGACGGACGGTATAGGCTGTAACCCCAAAGGATCCTATCCAATGGGATCTGAGGGGAGGGACACATGTGGCCAAGCACAGGAATAAAACGTGGTGATTCAAGCTGACTGTGCCTGTGCCTACCTATAGGACATACCCGCTTTTGCAAAAGTGATTTTTTAATACTAAATTAGTGCTGCTTGAATTCGTGGATGTCAGAACTTTGTTCTTCCTAGAAGTGTTGCTCACAATATACCCTACACCTGCCGCACAGTCATTCAATGATGGCCTCCTACCCATTGCTGTCTCTTCAACTCTCTTCTTCGGCTGAAGGCTCCCACCACTTGTCACTTCAAATGTTGTTCCATAGTTATGTCCAATGGCATTGTCGAGGCAGAACCACTGTTTTTCAAAAATAATTTTTCTGAAAGACAAGATGAAAATCAATGCAACATAAAAACTCATAACATTATCATCTGTAAAAGCAACTGAGAAGTGAATACTTTCAAGCTTAGTTTAAAACACCAGTAGACAGAGTAACTCTTTTATTGAGAGAAGGATCCATTGCAGGCATTTTATGAATGTTTTTAGTTGTGCAGTTGTTGGAAAAATTTGGATAAATCCTGTCAGAAAAACATTGCTTCTGTGTGCTTTTGCATTGTGGAATCAATCCTGTACTCCTTCTCAAATCAAGCTAAGTCACTGTTTAAAATGGCATTCCTCCCCAGCTCCATTCTCTCACATTTAGCTGTAAGCTACAGTAGACAGGCCATTTAGTCCAAATATACATTATATACCTTCACAATGATTAAATAATAATCATTGTTGGAATTCACAGTTTACCAGGAAGTATCTTTTGCTAGCCCAGAGGGCTTCATGCGCCCTGGCCATTGAGATGCATTACTTAGGGTCTGAGTCTAGATGAGCTTGTGAGTTCATGAAGAGTTTCTCAGCAGCTTGAATTTACATGTCTAAGCAGACCTGGAGATGGGTTCAAGTTACTCAACTAAAGTGTCAATACACTGCAATTAGAAATATTGTTATCTCATTGTCACTGTATGATTGACTGACATTCCTTTATCTGTTCTGTATGTGATGACCTCGGAATCTTATTGTAATGTCTGCATTCTGTCATCAATTGCTCTGTACCTGTATACATGACCAGGAGGGTATAAAATACCCTGTAGTTGTATTGAAACTTTGCAGCGAGTTCACCTTTGCCTGCCCGGTAATGCATTATCGTGAGTCTACCGCGGGAACCTGGGCCAAACAATAAAGCCACAGATGGTCTGGACACTTGATCTTTCCCATGAACCCGAGTTTTACTTCCTCCTCACGAATTGAAATTCCAGGATTTTCTGACACAGTATTGTAATTTTAACATGATCCCGTAGGGACAAAGCTGTTGCTTTAGTTTCACTTTCCCTTCTGTTAGAATCTGTTATGCTTGGGCAAGAATCAGAAGAGGCCTGGCCTTGGTTCTAATAATAGTTTAGAAGAAAGGCTGAGCCCTTTCATTAGGGGACACTAAATTCCATTCAAATTAATAGAGAAACTGCAGAGTAATTATTTACAGCTGTGGCTTGGATGAAGTTTCCTAACAAAGAACTGTTAAGTCTCCATTCTTCAAATAAAGAATTAGATTTACAAAAAGGGTTGTGAAACAAAGTACATTACATGGAAAATATCAATATTTCTGCATGAAAAATTGATCACTTGCCAACTGAACAAAGTACCTAAGTAATTGCTCCCATGATCACAAATGGGCCTATGGAAAGATCAGCACAGTCTTTCACAGCTGTAAGAGCATTAATGTACATTTGCCACAAAGCTGTACTGCAGCCAGGACTATTCAGTTGCTTGGGAAAAGTACAGTATACTGGTGATGGGTGTGATACAACAAGGGAAGTCGCCGGAAAAAATAGAGGACGTGGGGGAAAGCAGCTAATGCAATATATTTGTAAGACCATCATGCTGTCAGTGGTAACAGACAGGAGGCCTTTTGAAAGACTGAAAACATTTTTAGAACAAAACAACCCACATTTACAGCAGTGTGTCTGAATTGATTTAGAATATTATAGGCATTGGTGATTTCTGACCAAACGTTCTAACAACTCAAAAAGATAGAAATGAAAAAGCTGGAAAGAAAGGAAAATAGAGGTCAATTTTTTATACAATAATAATGTGAGATATGTTGATGTATATCTCTAAATATTACAACCCAGAAATAATTCCCAATAAATATAATGGGGACTGTTCTCAGATAAATGGGTATAGGATTGTAGCCTAGAACTCTTATTTGGAGTCTTGGGGGAAAATACATGCATTAGAATGATGGCTGAAAAGCCATGAAAAAGAGCCAACAGAATTTGATGAATAGTTTCTTGCTGTTATGAGATAAAACATGCTATTTAATGTGAGCCTCTGAAGCACATTTTCCCAGAAAGAGAGAGAAATTGTTTTGAGAAAGAGCAAAACTGAACAAAAGCTAGGAAGTAGAACCTGGATCCAGAAATAGCAAGTCACATTTGTGCAGCTTTGGTACAAAAAAGATTTCAGTAGTTTTTATTTTTTTTTAAAGTATTACGTAAGAAAGTTAATCTCCTCTGTTCTCAGATGGCAAAGAGCATCAGAACTTAAGAATGTAAGAAGAGCCTTGCTGGATCAGACCAATGGTCCATCCAGTCCAGCTTTCTGCTCACACGGCTACCCACAGGATTCCATGAGCAGGATATGGCTGCAACAGCCCCCTCCTGGCCAAGCACCCCAGCAACTGGTGTAAACAGGCTTACTGTCTCTCAGACCACAGGCAGCTTATAGCCATCAAGACTTGTAGTCACTGATTGCCTTCTCCTCCATAAACGTCTCTGTTCCCCTTGTCCAAATCACTGGCTGTCACTGCTTCTTGTGGCAGTGACTTCCATGGTTTAACTCTGCACTGTGTGAAGGGGTACTTCTATCTATCTGTCCTGATTCTCCCACCAATGAGGTTCATGGGATTCTACTAGTAATACTGGGGGTCTAGTGTTAGCTGTGTGTGAGAAAAAATGTTTCTCTTTCTCCACACCATGCATATGTTTGAACCCCTCTATTACATCTCTGTTTATTCTACATTTTTTCTAAATTAACAATTCCAGTTGTTGTAAGCACTCTTCACAGGGGAGTTGTTCCAACCCTCTGATCATTCTAATTGTCCTTTGCTGCACTTTTTCCAACTCAAAAAAGCCCATTTTCAAGTGTGGTGACAAGAACTGTACATAATACATTAAGTGTGGTCACACCAAAATTTGCATAAGGGGAGTACCATCCTGGCAATTTTATTTTCAGTTCTTTTCCTAATGATGCCTATCATGAAGTTTGCCTAACAGAGAGTTTGTCATTTTCACAGCTGTCGTGCACTGAGTTGAGCTGTTTTCTTTGTGCTGCCTTGACCGGTCACCACTAGCTCAAATCTCATCAGTTTATATTGGAAGTTGGGCTTTTGGCCCCTATTTGCATTTTGCTACACTTGCTTACATTGTTTTTACCATTTTGATACCTATTCTCTCAGATTAAAGAAACCCTTTTGGAGATCCTCACAATCCCTTTGGGTTTTAACCACCCTAGATTTTTTGGTCTCATCAACAAATTTGACCACTTCACTGTTCACTCCTAATTCCAGATCTTTTATGTGTAAGTTGAAAAGTATTGATCCTCATATAGAACCTTGTGGAGATTCACAGCTTACATTCCTCCACTGGCAGAAATAACCATTTATTCCCACTCTGTTTTCTATTATTTAACCAGTTATTGATCTAGAAAATTAAATTCACAGTCCAGTCCTGTATAGATTTAAAGACGCATAAGTTCCTAAATTTCAACAGTCCAAGATGTGTCTACCTGTATAGGTTCAGGCTGGGAATTTTGGGAATGGCTGCATAGGTTCAGGCTGGATAGTCGATTTTGGTCATGGCTTTTCCGCAGGAGCACAAAGAGGACAGTCTGAGGCGCTTCCACAATACTACGAGCCATGGCAGATCCTCACTCCTCCCCTTGCCACCCACTGGTCTTCCAAACTTGCAGCTGCAGCCAGTGTGGAAAGAACCATGACATCTACAGGAGGGAGCTCCAATGCCAGAGGTCCAGCTCTGACCACAGAGTGTGTTCCTGAACATAAAGCTACAACTTTGACCTCCCTGATGGCTAGCTAAATTCTAGCAGCCATAGGATTGGGCCCTAAGCCCACTTGTAGGCCACAAGATACATGAGGTGTAAGACCCCTTCCCTTTTAGATGCTCTTGAAGCACTCATTTGGTTCTGTGCAAACTTAAAGGTCAAAGGACAGATTTGGGATTGCTCCAACATGCTTCAAGAATACTTAAAGAACATTAGCCTGCACTGCAGACAAAAGGGTTCTTTACAGAGATCACTAGGAAGACAGTACGAGTCTGCAGTTATGGCAGGCTAAAAGATATGACATATAAGGAAAGGGGGATGGGGAGGGAGGAGGAAAAAAGCAAGCCCAAGCATCAGTTGTTGAATCAAGATTCCTTATTAATAACCAGATGGGACAAAAACCATTCAGGTAGTTGATGGAAAGGTTGCAACTGGATGCCAGTTGGAGAGCCATAGGTGTCTGGTCTCTCCGTAGCACTTCCTCTTTTCTCTTCCACTGCTCTGCAACTTAATGAGATGACTTTCTATCAGAGCTCATTGTGCTCTTTTCTATGTTTATTTTGGTCCTGGTTTCATGTTGTTATTTACTCATCCATATATGGCATGGTAAGTCTATCCTGTTTGACTCTATCAAATTGAATGGAATGACAATTTAAAGCAAGAGTTCAATAATACATATAATATATTGGCATTTATTTAACACAGCATACACCACCTATGAAAACAAAAGCTCCTAAAGAAGCTGATATTATAATACAAACGTTTGAAATATCTAATGCCAATCCAGCCAATAAAAAATCACATTGCCATTAAAGACAGGGAAATATGATGTAAAACATCCAGCTCAACAACAAAGAAAAATAATACATATTATTATTTCAGTATAGGGTTAACTGAATTGTCTAAAATGTATTTAAAACCCTGTTCAAAGCAAGTAGTGAAGGGGCCTGCTTCCTTCAGAGAAGAGTCTCACTTGTAGCTTCCCCTCTTCTCCCCTCTCTCATCTTCTTCTGTGTTACACTGTAGACTAAAATAATTGGCATAGCTCTGCCTAGTGTTTGACTTATTTAATAGAAAAGCATCATATACAAAACGATAGCAGCAGCAGCAGCATGATTCTTCGGCTTCATCCTTCCATCCCATTTCCCTGTGGAAACGAATTCTAAACATAGGTAACTAACTAAGCACAAGTAACAGAACAGAAGACATAGTCTTCCTACATTCCCCCATCCTCACATCTTCCCCTGCTTCTATTGCACCCTTGGCAAGTCTTGTGTGCTCCAAAATTTTTGATCAATTCCCATCAGCCCTAGCCAGTGTGATCACTGGTCAGGACTTCTAGGAAGCATAGTTCGAAACATCAGGAAGTCCTCTGGCTGGGCCTGGTTGCTTGCCTTTGTCAGATCTGACACAGTAAGCTTCTTGCAATAGGAACTTGCCTTTTTCCGTACTCCATAAAAGCACCATACACATCCACTGCTGCAAATAATGAGTGTCTTACGACAGCTGCCTAAATACTTGCAAGTACTGTGGCATGTAAGCTTTTATGCATCAGGTACATTTGGTTAGATGCAGTGTGATACAGTATCACTCACAATATTTGTTCATAAAAACAATTACAGGTATAGGGTGGCTATGAGGCTACCCAGACTTGATGCGAAGGAGAGGGATGGCCAACATTCCTTCTACTTCACCAAGCCACTCGTCCCAGGAGGGAGGCTGGCAGCCCAACCCTACATAGACGAACGTCCCAATGAATTCGACTGAGTTCACTCTCAACACGGTAAGCGTCGCATCCTCAGGATGTGTTCCTTTACACGTATACAGGGATCTAAAAAGTCCTACAACTGCTAGCACAGCTGACTGGGGAATGCTTGGGAGTTGTAGGACTTTTTTCCCTGTCGAAACACGCACGGGAAGTTGCTCTTTAGAGAGAGCCTTTAGAGCAACAGAAGAGGGACAGCGGCCGTGTGACAAATGCAGCCTCACCTTCGCTTCACCACCGCGACTGCCTTGAAGACCTCGCCCCGCTTGAGAACAGCCCAGTCCCCCTCCTGGATGACATAGCGGGACGCCGGGCGAGGAATCGCCTCCATCCCTCCCGTGCGCCCGGACTTTCCCCACTACGCCGGCTCGAGTACGCCGCACGCGGAGAACTGCTATTCAAGCGCATGCGCCAACGAGATGAACGCAGCCATTCTCGCTTCCACTTTGCTGCCTTTTTTTCCCCTCCTCTCAGCGCGCATGTGCTACAGGTCTTGCCGGAACGGAAGCGACCCGCCCCTTCCCTCTCCCTTTCTATTGTCCAGATGTGGCCCGGATGGACTTTCTAATGGCCGATGCAAAGTATAGGGTTTTCACCATAGAAATGCAAAGGGTAGAGCGACATTTCTCCGTACCGATCATAGAGTTAGACATTGTAAGAGCGGAGCTACGCAGAGTTTGACTTAAGGGTGACAACTGACAGGATGCAATCTTCTGAGTGTTGGAGGACCCTTCCTGTCTAAACATCGGTAGGCCTGCACCTTTAAACCACGACCCTCATGGATTTCGTATTGTCGCGAGGAAGGGCTGTTCCGTAATTTGAACAGCGGTAGAAAGTTTCCGTTGGATAATACTTCTCTCGCATGCAGAGGCTGGGAGGAAGAAAGCCAGGATTGTAGTCACTGCGTGGAAAATCCCGAGTTTTATAAGAAGTTTTTAAACATTGAAAAATGCTAATACAGTTCATATGTCGCATCCTTAAGTTGAAAGTGTGTGTGTGTGTGGGGGGGGGGAATTACATACTTTAAGAAAGCCTTGCTACTCATAACATTGCAGATCACGGGTAGGACTATGGATAGTTTTGGGTTGCAGCTCCATAATATTCTCCATACATTCCCCGGAGGTTATAGTATGCGCAGCGCCCCAACCTAATCCACTACCGACGCTACACTTTTAAGGGAGCAAATCTATGAATACGGAGGAAGAAAATAGGATTGCTGGGACTGTAGGGCTTTTTCTTCTGTCCCAGTATGCCCGGGAATGCGTCCTAACGTTTTGCAAAATCTTTCTTTAATCACACCAATTAAAATCTACGGGAGTAGAGCAACACGCCATTGTCCAATTATAGCTAAACACGGTAATTTTTATGACTTGCTACGTCCACCCCAAAATATACGGAGAGTTTTCACTTTTATTCTGGGAAACAACCGAGTTCAAAAGCAACCCGGAAGCTGCTCACTGTGCCGAAGTCTCTTACGATACAGTCTTAGAACCAAATTATGCCTTTCAGATTTTTTCCCCTCATCCTTTTGTGCAACTTAAAAAAAGGATGGCGCTCCGGGGGGGGGGGGACCCTCTAGTCCTTCTACTTTCAGGCGAGAAACACACATCTACACCCCCCATGAAGAACAAAAAGGGATCCCCAAGAGGGATTTGTTTCTATACAGGTGACTAGTCCGTGGCGCATGCGTAGCAGGCTCTTCCGTTTATTTGCGTCTTCTGAGGGAGATGCCAAAATGAAACTATGGCAACGGAGCAGCGCACTCTTCTATTGGCTCTGGGTTCCGGACGCGGAGGGAACCCTGACGGTCCCGCGTAAAATGAAAATAGACATGAAGGAAGGGAAGTGACCGGAAGGGAGACGATTGTGAGGTCAGCGCTGCCGTTGCCGTCGATGCGGGGGGCGGCCTGTCCTTGACGCGGGGGGGCTTCCAGGCGGGGCGCTCGGGGCGCTGCCGGGGATGTTCCTGCGTGTTATTTCGTTTTCTTCTTCTTAGTGGATTTTGTGCTTCAGAAACGGCGTGTTAGGGGGATGAGATCTAGCTTGCTTTCCCCCTGACGTGCTAGTTTTCGATGAACAGGGCTCTCCTCTCCTCTCCTCTCCTCTCCTCTCCTCTCCTCTCCTCTCCTCTCCTCTCCCGGAGGTATATTCGGTTACGTGAGGTCTGTATAGTAGCACAGACCATATGTTCTGTGTCCAATGGGTTGACCATCCTCCGTGTTGTCGCTCATCACGAGAGGGAATGATGCATAAGCAGCAGTAGCATCAACCAGAACAATGCTAATGCGCGCGCGCACGTTCTAGATTTTGGATGAGAATTCTTAAAAGAAAAAAACCGCTTCTTGCAGACTTGTACTGCTAAATCCCTCTGTTTTAACAGGGCTGTCCTGGACACGTTTCCTCACTTATTCCCAGGGTACCTTTAGGGGCGCTTAGTGGAGTTTGTACTAGATTCCAGTCTGATTTATACTCTGTTCATGGAGTACAAGATTCAGCTAGAATCTAATACTAGACTAATACTAGATTGTCATGCTGACATCTGCCAGAGATCACTCAGGTACTTCATTTCCTACAGAGGCCATTAGATACCATAGCTTGTAGGAGATCTTAGAGACAGGTAGGAAACACATTGAGACTATAAGATGTCCTATATCATATTATACCATTGGACCATTTGATTTAGAAAGCTTGAGGTCTCAGGCTTTCACCAGTTTAAAGGGGGATAGGCCAGGAATAACAATTGGATGTGGCATGTGTATTTTGCTAATGAGTTACTGCCCTTTACCCATACATTATAGGTAATATCCATGCATTGACTGCATTTGAACATAATATGTCCAAATAATAAACTGTGATATAGCATTGCAGGAACAGACCTTGGGCTAGTGCTATACTGTGCCCTTCTTCTGTGAGTCATAAGGAGGAGATTGGGATCTTTTACATCAATTTTCATAGCCTTACATTCAAGCCCTAAATTGTGAATAATTTTAACTATAGTTTATTGGTTTAATGTCACAGTAAGCCTTCATGATGTTCAGCCTCTGTGTGCTCAGTATGACATAACAGCCCATTGTGAGTTAAGCTGCAGCTGCAGGATGCATATGGCTGCCATTTTGCATGCTCAAACCCTGCTTTGGCACTGTTGTGTCATCAGAACCCAACAGCCCTGGTTTTGCAAGGGTTGTTTAACCCTCACATAAACCATGCTTCCTGGGTTCAGGCAACATAAAAACCCCTGAGTTTAAGTTGGAAGTGCAAAAGTAGCACCTGTAGGCACTGCAACTTGTTATAGACTAAATAAAATACATAAAATACAATGAGTCATGCTGTGTCATGCAAAGTCAGTAGGTCTTGGGTTTGCGTACTCCTCCCTCTTCCTATTTTGACAACAACTTTGGAAACTCTTTGTTTCAATTCATTATTATTTTTAACAAAGGACTCTGGTTTGCTTGAACTGAAAATTTGGTTTAAAACTAATTAAATGCGATGGGTGTGGCATAAAAATGTTATAAATAAATAAATATACTTAGTCTAAAACAAACAAGATTCATACTATGGGTTCTGAAGTTGCTTGTTTAAGTTACTATAATTACATCATTGTAAGTGTGAATGAATGAAACAGGAAGGCATGGTTAAATAAAAATGGAACTAATAGCTCCCAAGTCATCCTCTCAGCTGCACAAGAGGAAGGGAGGGGTGGAGTGTATGAGTTCAAAGCTCATGGTAGTTTGTGTTTTGTTATGATTGTTAAAAAAAAGGAAATAAAACAACTTTGTAAACCATAGTATAAAGTAGGCTTGTTTCAGTAAGACTAACCATAGTTTGTCTTGGTTCAAGCTCCTGATTTCTTTGAGGCTGTGCTGGATGAAGAAAGGAGATGGTGAGCACATGAATCTGATGCTTGTTTATGTAACAGTAATTCATCTTATCTTTGAACACAGTGAATGTTTCATTATGGTCCAGAAATCTACACATGCCACTTTAATTAAAAGTAATTAAAGTATGCAGCAAATGATGTTCAAGTTTTCAGAGGTATCTGTACCCAAAATCCTCTCCTCCTAAGGAATTCCACTTACTCATCAAATATCATGCAGTCTTTCACACATCATTTTATTTTGTTTTTCCTTTGACAGGTAGCCCTACCGTGTGTGCTCAGTACTTTAGCTTTATTAATTTTTATTCTGTGATCTAAGACGCTTTGTTCTACTTTTTGAGAAGGATTGAAAAGCTGTTTAAAAAAATCTTGGAGATTAAAAAAAAAGCACTATAAGCACAAAAATGTTTTATATTTTCTTCCATGTTAATAAATGATTGCTTACAACCTGTAATTTTAGTTGCAAGACAAATTGATATAAAGTATTCTTCTTTAGTTTCTCTGGAGTTGTGAAGCCATTAGAGTGCTGAAATGAGCAGTGAGTCCAATGGGAAAGGTTCTGGATGTGGAGGCAGTGGCTTTCGGAGATGGAGAGGAAGAGAAGGATGGCAAGGGCATGGAAAAAATTGTGGGCAAAGAGGAAATTGGAAAAATGCTGCTGCAAAGTCAGTGTCTGGTATGTTCATTCTGTAATTCTGTAACTTGGCTTTATTCTGATTTGCTGTTGGGGCTTGACTTTTTCTTAGGAATATGTTAATCACTGGAATGTATCCTGTGACAGCATAATGCCATGCCCTGGAGTCTAGGACTGTCTTACTTTAGAGTAACTTTACACATAATCATAGCCTTGAAATGGACTGAAGTCTTCAATGTTGAATTTGTCCCAAAGTTGCTTCTCTGAGTAAACAAGCAGTTTTATTAGTACGAAATTGTTGCTATGCTTTGCATAAATTTCTTAAAATTAATTTAAAATCTGTTATCCTTTTTATACTTTTCAGCTCCAGGTCAGCTCATTCAGAAAACATTGGATCAGGCTACTCCTTTTAGAGGCTGGAAACTTTATTTCTCTGAAGGTAGATACAACTTTTTTTTTGGTAGATATAGGAGAACCAAGGTAGATAAAAATCAATTATTTTTTTAAAATACAAAAAAAAAATCATTTCAATTGATTTTTTTTAATAAAATGCTTTTTTGAAGAAATCTCTGTCTAAAGATACATTTTTCTATTTAAGATTCATTATAGTCCAAAGGATATTCATCATGAAATAAGATTAGTTTTTATTATGTAAGATGAGGCTGTAAAGAAAAAAACCAAAAGGATTAACTTGCAGTAGAAACAATACCAATCAAGTAAGCATGTGTGCTTTTAGAGTGTAGAATTAGGGTTACCTGGAGTCATGGCTGTGTGTATTAACTCATTTAAATCATCCAATTCAGCATATGATGACAAATCCATTTTTATTCAGAAGATTGAAGCATTTGAAAAGTTTTTTATGTCTCGAATAGAGCTTTATGACAAGGTAAGTCTTTGTTATGTGATTTTCCTCCCTTCCTTCTCCTCACCCTTCTGCCATTATTCTCCAGTCTTAAAGTTATAGCTGTCTTTGCATGCACTTGTCATCTGTGGCTAGATGGATGACCACAAGTGCCAGAGCCTTTTCCATTGTGCTGCCTTTCCTAGAAAGTCTCGGCAGACCAATACTGTAGGGCTCTTTAAAAGATTTGTAATACCTTGTTTTGCAGATCTTTGTGGGTCTGAAGCAATTGTGTGGCTTTAGGCTCTCTGCCACTGATAGTGTTATTATTGTTTCTTATTGACTGAGTGCTAGCTAAGTTTAATAGCTTTCATATTAACAATTTTATGCCACCATATGTTTTGAAGGCCCTGGGTGGGCAGAAAGCCAGACTACTAATGCAATATGGTAATAACCTTTACAGTGTTAGGACTGGAAGAGAGCTGAATACCTCCTAGACAAATTCTTTGTTTTGACAGCTTTCTCATGTGCTAAACCACATGCATGTTGCTGTGATTCACACTTGATCTTAAGGCATGGTGTGGTTTTCTTGAAATCTAGTCTGTCAGTGTGTCTAGACCTATCTGTACAAGCAAACTATAGTTTGTAAACTAGTTGGTAACCACAAATAGAAGCCATAGGTCTGGTTCACACGACATGACTGCCCACTGTTGCATCATGCTGGACATCTGCCATTTGTGCACAGCACCCGTGGTTTGCTATGACTTTTTGTGCCATGCAACTGCAGGTGGCAGGGGTTGTTTGAGGGGTAGACAACCATGCAATAAGGTGTCCTGTATGGTTTGATAACCTTCTCTGTAAATTCAGCCATGATGGTTTGCTGTATCATACGAATCAGGGCACTCTGTGTGTGTGTGTGTTTGGCTTATGAATTGCGACTTGTATAAACCATGGCTTGTGATATCCGAACCCAGAGCAGTGACCTACTCCTGTCTTGTTTGTGCTATTGTCTTCCCTGAAATTAAGAGAAGTCTGAAAAGAAATCAGCCTGAAGGTTGTTAAATTGGGCAGGAGAGAAAAAACAAATTGGGAAAATAGTTTCTTTGCATTTAGTTTACTCTTTTTATAAGACAATTTATGCCCAACGCAACAATTTTATGCAAATAGAGGCATTGTATTTTCTTATTTATTAAAAATTAGAATTGTACTTCATTATTTACAATAAAATACAGAAAAAATGCTTGAAGTATGGCCCTTTAAAATCCTGTAACAAATTCACTTGTACACAATTTCATTTTGTAGGATGAAATAGAAAGAAAAGGAAGTATTCTTGTGGATTACAAAGATCTGACAAATGATAGAGAAGTGGTAGAATCAATACCTGATATTACTTCTGAATTCAGGGAGATGCCACAGAGAATATTGGACTGCTTGGGCCTGGCCATACATCAGGTAAATGTATTAGGTTGACAGCATGGCATACAATGAGGTACTCATTAAGACTGTAGAATATTGCTCCTGACAGCTGTCTGCAAAATTGGTCCAGGTAAGTCCTCAGTCCTTGCAAGCTGTCATAAGTAAAGAGTTAGTGCTGTTCTCTTTGATTATAAAACTGCAATACATGGAAGTCCATATACAGCAGTACAAGATGGGCCTGTTACTACAGGAGTGGAGTTCCACTAACAGAGGTCTCCTAAAAGCCCTTTTCCTGAGGGTTCCTGCCACACAACACACACAAAGAGTGTAGGACATGGAATTGGGGAATTACAGTGGTAAGGGGAAATATCGAGGAAATCTTCCTTTCAAAGCACCTTCTGTGTGTGCTAGGGGACCTTCAGAAATAATCCAAAGGTGATACCAATTATCCTGTGTATAGTCCAAGTTAGGTAGAGTTTTAGGGACATAAACTTGCCTCTTTCTTTTCCTGTAGGTGCTAAGCAAAGATCTTGAAAAACATGCAGCAGAACTAAAGGAACAAGAAGGGCTGCCAATTGATGAAGAGCCGATAATAAATGTGCCTCATATTCATGCAAGGTAGCTACTTTTTAAATATTTCTAGAAGGAGGAAATCTGCATGTTCAGGAAAGGGGGGTTTGTACATTTGTGCACTGAATGGCACAAACACATTATGGTATAGTTGTAAAAGTAAAACCAGAAACTGGGAATGCAGGGCTGATCTCCCAGGTTACACTGAGAATACTGTTAACTCATCTTCCATCAGTAACCAATGAATGGAGATGCCAGCAGCAGCAATACCATTACCACTGCTGACCTCATTCAGGGATAGTGACAGGCTGTGCTTTGCTGTTACAAGAACACATCCCATCTGGTGCATGTAGGCGAGAAAATTTGAAATGTTATTGAATCAGTGGAAGGCTCATATTAGTTCCCTGGGGGGCCTCTGTGTCAAGCAACTCATCAAGTCCTTTCCCCAGGCTGAGAACAAAAGAGGTTTCATAAAATTCTCCTCTTGCGCTATTGCAGTCTCAGTGTTCACAAAAGTTCTAGCCTCCCTTCCTGAGAGACGGGGAGAGGGGGTAACGTTGCATCAGCAAGGCAAACAGCCTCATCTCACAGCAAAAGCAGTCTCTAGCTGTAGAATGATTAGGGAAGGCAGCTTCAAGGTAATTATTGCTGAAGATCTTCCTGACTAGCTGAGGGCATAAGGCTTTGGGCAGGGTTTCAAGAAACCACCCTGGCTTTTGGACACTGGGAAAGTTCATGACAGTATCTGTTGAACTTTAATAATCTCCTCATTATTCTTTTGATGGAGCCCATAAAACTGTATAAAAACTGATAAACAGTTATCGGGCAGCCAAATGAAAGTCATTGATAAAAGGAAAGTATGTGTGCTGAAAACAGGTGGTGACAAGATCTCCCTGTAGCAATATAGTCCTGTTGATCACAAGTGTTCAGCCAACAGTTTTCAGTGCCTTCCTCCAGAGTGGATTTGATTTAAATCACAAGTCAGTAAGACTAGATTGAAATCATGGTGTTTTTATCTAATATGACAATCATTTGTCATATGGTATGAACAAAATCAGTGATTCAGAAACTGTACTTCCGATAGTAATGGTTATAATTTTCTACATAATTGTGGTACCTGTAAGAAAGAAGGCAGGCAATTGCTGTGGAATGCATAATAATTCCAGGAGCAGGGAAGATCAATGCAGAAAATATATAATTATAGCATATAAAAATAACTTTAGAAAAATAAGCTTCTCAGCACTAAATGGTCTGTATTACTTAATTCAGACACCTGCCAGCAACCCCATTCACACATAATACACAGTCCATTTTGTTCTGAAGTTTGATCTGATAGAATAATCTGCAGTTTAGTTTGTAGAGGTCAATTATTGGAAATACTGAAGTCTTTGCAACTGTAATTCAGGAGTCTGAGCAATATGCCATGTAGAAAGGGAAGTTTTTTTCAGATTGTAAATTAATGCATTGCTAAATTATTGTTAAAAGCATTGGCTTTGAGCTAGAGGAAATTAGTCATGTTTAAATCCAATTGAAATCTGAGTTTGGTTATCATTAATTAAAATGTTATTGATTTTTTTCCCAGTGCAATATTCAGCCTGATTCTATGCACATTTACACAAAAGTAAGCCCTAAAGAGGTGTGCATAGCACTGAAAATGCTAACATGACCTCTCTGGATTGGGGCTATTGCTGTCAATACACAAGCGCCTAATGTTTGTTATTTATGAATTATTGCTTTTTAGAGTGTACAACTTTGATCCGCTTACTCAACTGAAAAATATTCGAGCTAATTGCTATGGGAAATACGTTGCTCTGCGTGGGACTGTTGTTCGTGTCAGTAATATTAAGCCTATCTGTACTAAGCTGGCTTTTATATGCAATTCTTGCGGAAATGTTCAGAGCTTTCCTCTGCCTGATGGAAAATACACTCTTCCCACAAAGGTAATTATTCCAATAATTGAAATACTTTTTAGCCACCTCTTGTTTGTTTGTTTTTATTTAAACTTTTTGTATGCTGTCCAATATCTTATTTATTCATTTAGTAAGCTTCTATGTCGCCCCATTCGCTGATGCCTTGGGGCAGCTCACAACAATAAATAAATACATATTAAACATATAAAAACAATATAATTGGAGACGTCCTGGCCGAAGATATGAAATCAATAAATAAAGCTAACAATTAAAATGACGTTTAAATAAAAATATTAAAGTCTCTGGATGGCTTACAAAAAACAGAAAACCAAAAAACAAAGCAATTATGTACAACAAACAATACACAACACACAGCATCCAATAAATAATGATAAAATCAAAGATAAAACCAATTAACTGTTAAAATATTGGGAAAATAAAAAGGTCTTCATTTGATGCTGAAAAGAATAAAGCGACAGCGCCAGGCGAACCTCCCTGGGGAGCATGTTTCACAGTCAGGGAGCCACCACTGAAAAGGCCCTTCTCTGGGTAGCTACCCTCTTAATTTTCTTCAAAGAGGGCTCCCAGAGAAGGGCCTCTGCCTCAGATCTCAAGGGGCAGGCAGGCACATAGGGAAGACTGATAAGTCTCTAAATACCAAGAACCATTGTTAGCTGTCCTTCAAACTCAAATAGCTCAGCAGAACCTTTCTGTTGCACAAATGCAATGTACAACCCTTGCACAAAGGTAATGTGCAAGTGCTTATTCATCTGCACTCAGGGATATGTAACTTTAGTTGGATTAATCTCCTTAACAGTTTGGAACCTAGTTTTTGTTAGTGCAAGCATATTCTCATCAACAGAGTGACACAGATGGATAATGTCCTAAAATAGTAAGATTTAACAGAAAACAGGTTATCTTTCACAAAATTGGCTAAATTTCTCCTCCCTTCTTGTTTACTCTTTTATGAGCATGGGTCATATATTTAAAAATTAAACTAAAGAATTATACATTGTAGTGTTATTAATGGGAGAGGAAAAGAATCTTCTGAAAATCACGTAAGATTTGACTTTTTCCTGCCAAAAAGAAAAAGAACTTCAGGTATTGATACATAAACGTGCTTTTGTGGTTTTAGTGCCCTTTGCCTGAATGCCATGGACGATCATTCACTGCAGACAGAAGTTCTCCTTATACAGTCACAGTGGACTGGCAGTCTATTAAGTAAGCACTCTGTGTGGTTCTTTTAAACTGACATTTCTGCTGTATTATTAATTGGCATTTGTTGATAAACTCTAAACTATCACATTTATATACACTGAAATGTGAGGAAAACATTCCCATGTTCTTGAGATAATTAATAATTGACTTCATCTTTATAAGGTAATATACTCCTTTTATTTTTTGAAGCTCGGTTGAGCAAACATCTCATTCTGAAATGCAACGTTCCATCTCTTCTCTCTTATATTGGTTTAAAACAGTAGTAAGTCACATCGATCTGAAGTAAGCAATCCTATTTTATGTGCCATGCATGAAACACAAATGTGGCACTTTGAAGAGTTTGGTTTGACCTCTGGTTCCCATGTACTCTTCTTCCTGAACGAAGTGCTACTCTGTCGAAAGAAAATGGCATAGTTATAATTGATTTGTAATTCATAAGAACTAGGTGTCAGACATGAAGCAGAACGTTTTGAACATTTTTTGAGCGGTTGTCTGTTTCTTGAGAGGGAATGGATTGCTAAGAAGAATATTATACCTATGCTCCAGGATACAAGGTGTGTCTCTGTAGCTTTCCAGGAATAAATCGGGATGCTCATTTTGATCGACAGCATCCCAAACTGCGTGTGTATGCCATGTCTTACCAGTTCATCCCCTGCAGCTGTTTAATGTAACTATCTCCCTTGATTAAGGCTGGGAGTATAAATGTGGACTATCTTTATATAATAACTGAAACACAGATTTATTGTACTGTGTATTCTAGGATTCAAGAGCTAATGTCAGATGATCAGCGAGAGGCTGGTAGAATTCCTCGCACAATAGAGTGTGAACTGCTTCAAGACCTTGTAGACAGCTGTGTTCCAGGAGATGTGATTACAGTTGCAGGAATTGTCAAGGTGTCAAACACTGAAGAAGGTATACTGTATTGTGTATGGCTTATCTGAGTTGATTTTATGCCAGTGTTCTTCTTTGTGGGAATTTATTAAGTATATGGTTATGGAAATTGGTAAACTGGTAGAGGAAACCTGCCCAAATATAGTAATTCTTACAGCAGTCTGTCTGTGTGCATGACTGTGTAGAGATGGACCTAGTGAGAAGTGATATAGGTAGGATTTTGAGTGGTTGTCTGGTACAGATCCCTGGTCGATATACAATATTACCAGACCCGAATTTGTGGAACTAGATGGACTTGGCCACTCTGGGCCCATTGTTTCTTCCATACATTTCTTGCTGTTTCTGACTAAAGCAGTTAACTTTTCTAGATTGTTGGTACCTACAGGAATGTTGTAGGTAGATTACACTTGGATTGAATGCTCCTCCATACAGAACATCCACAGACAAAAAAACCTAGCATGCTAGAGAAGAGTCTAGTCTTTTTCTAACTGTGCTAGTTTCCTATGTAAAGGGATTATTTTTGAATGTAGAAGCAATCATAAGCTTCCATAGTCTTATGTGGTATAAGGGAGACAGAGATTTACTGCCTCAGTGAGGTCTACAAAGTCTGTATAGTGTCCAAAAGCCATCTATTTTTTTGTTAAGTACATCTCAAAATTCTTGTCAGATGACAATCCATAGATGCTACCAATATTCATTTCTAAAACAATCATGTAACAGCATACCTAATTAATTGTCATTATCTATTTTACTTTGGCCCTTGGAGCTGAATAAACTAATAACTTCTGATAATGAGGAGTTGTCCTCCTGTCTTTAGCCCTTAACCAATATTTAAATCTTGCTTAAAGAACCCTTATATATTATGTCCCCAAACAGAGATACTAACATGACTGCTGTTTTGATAATTTAACAGGGTCATCTAGAAATAAAAATGATAAATGTGTGTTCTTACTATACATTGAGGCAAACTCTATCAGTAATACTAAAGGACAGAAAGTCAAGAATGATGAAAATGGAATAAACCATCAAGCATGCATGGAGTTTTCACTTAAAGATCTGTATGCCGTCCAGGAAATTCAAGCTGAAGAGAACCTATTCAAATTGATCATCAAGTATGTTGTTGCTTGCTGTAATGTATTAATATATTTGCTTGCTGTAATGTATTGATATTCCAAACCAGCAGTGTGAACTAAATGTTGATCACATTTTTGGAGAAAATATGTGGCATATTATTTAATGACACAACATTACTCAGGTAGGTGTAATTGAAGTTAAGCAGCAGTTTCTTTATATTCTTTCCATATGTGGGGGACATTTGTAACTTCAGGATGATGATGATGATGATGATGATGATGATGATGATGATGATGATGATTTAAAGGCAGATACCATTATGAGGTTCTTCTGGAATCCATGATGGAACACGGGCAAGGTTGCTGCTAACCATTGCTTTGAAATTGGGCATATTTTGTTGTGTTCTTGGCATCTTGGAACTAAAAAGAAGCACATTTGTACTAATGTTACAGAACAGGGCTATTCCAGTAAGGGATGATCTCCTCTCTCCTCATGGATACCTCACTTATGTAAAATCAGAAATGTATAAAAAAGCAAAAACAAGAATCCGGGTTTGAAAATGTGGTAATAAGAACAATGCCAATCAACTATAGTTGTAGAAATGTAACAAAAGGATGCTGTGAGTTGCAACTGGAAGGAACCCAGCCAGATAACATCCCTCTGGTACTGCTGCTGTGCTCACTTAGGACATCTTCACAGGTAAGAGAGGATGTCCTTGTAGTGTTTGTGATGTCACAAACACTGTACTTAAAGACAGGGCCATTATTGGCCAGAGGCACTGCAGGACTCTGCAGGAAAAGGCTCATGAATTGGCTTTTCTGCTGAAGGGCCTTCTTTTTGAAAGAAAAGCATAAACTAAGCTTTGTGATCTGAGAAGAACAGATTAGTGGCAAGTGGAAGACACAAAGTAGATGGAATTGGATTTTGAGGTGCTATTAGAGGAGGAACCAAAGCTGCATAGTCTACAGTCTTGGGAGCCAGGATGTTCAGGTTATAGCAGAGCTGAGCAGTAGCCATCTTGCATGAGTAGAAGGAACAGTGAGTACAGCTGCTTTTTCTGTACCTACTATAGATTTATAAATATTCATGGATAATGCCTAATGTTAAGGAGCTAAAACCCATGCGGCCAAAGTCAATATCTTATTGCTTTATTGAATGGAGGATATGTAATGATTGAAATCAAAGGATTTTTATTCTACCAGTCATAACGTCCTCAAACAGAATTCTCACAATATTCCAGCTTGTGGAACCCTGGGGGAAAGTAATTTTTTTCTACTTGTCCCCTCTCTCTGTAGTCCCCAGCATTGACTTCCATATTTTCTAGAGGGTCCCTCAACCTTCTGGAGCAGAGTTTGGGGGCACTGTAAGGGAAGGGTAGGATGTAAGGGAAGACTGTTTTCCCCATTACACTGGGTGGAAGACTCTGCTGGTCCAAATGCCTCCTGTAGATGGATGGGGGAGCTCTTTGGTCTGCCACAGGCTTTCCCTGAATCCGTCCTGATAAGTCCACAAAGTGCTTATCTTTGGTAGAATTGTGTCTTGGCACTCTTCATGGCCTGGAAGCATTTAAAACCTAAGTTCTGAAATTTGCAAAGGAAGAGCAGGTATGAGACTTGTAAAAACGCTCAATCCTTTGGTTAATTCTCTTACCATTGTCAAGATGTTAGCAGGGTCATGTGTGATGTGCTTCTGTATAAGAAAAGACGATCAGTGGGAATTAGCAGATGAGAATCATGCCATATTTTTAAAATACAGTTTTCATACTAGGTGTTGTATGGATACAGACAGTGATCTGAAAGCATGTGGGCAATGGCTGCTGAAATCCCAGAAGCCAAGCCAATCCCAGGAGTCCATGGATGGCATTTCAGGGCCTTAGGTAGCACCTTGCTCTTGTCCCTCCCCATGACTAGCAGGAGCGACATTACTGATACTGAGTGCATGCACATTTGTTTGATTAGCACAAGTTATACAGGCTACAGAATTCAGTTCAGTTGTGCTGCAGAGGGCATGTACATGCATGAGGCTGTTAGCACAGGTTATGTGCAACCCTAAAAATATATTACTAATATTGCTTTTTTCTTTCCTAGCTCCCTTTGTCCTACTATCTATGGTCATGAGGTAAGTGTATCCCAATTACAAACTTCTGAGGCCTGCATTCTAAATAGTCACCAGAAAATGCAGGGGTTTTCTTGACTTGATTACATTTTGTCAATGAATTGGGTTGGCAATACAAAGAAGAGCTGCAGAATAGCACTGCGTACTGTTGGGGCTTTATTGCTTTCCTACCTGTTGTGAGATTCAATCTGTTATCTGGGCATTAACCTATATGTTCTTGAATTCCTCATACAATGTGCTCTGTTCTGATGGCCACATCAAAGATACATAATGAACTGCAAGGCAGCTGACAACTTAAATATTGGCTACCTTTAAGTATTAAAACATGTATCTAGCATCTTATGGTATGTGGCAGTTAAAGATTTTGCAAATATTTTTTATAGGAGTTTACCAGAAATGGTTCTTTCTATAAACTGATTCCATGAACATATGGGAGACGTGTGTGAACGCATTAGCCTTGTAATATTGCCTTGTTCTGGTGCTCAGTACCCTGCCACTGCATTATTATCTCTGCTTCTGAAGGCGAGGATCTTCAAGTTCTTGCTGGGTATCTGTGCCATGTGCTGCTAGCGTGAGCTAATCCTTCCAAGTACATTGTGTTTCACTCTCTCACTGAATAGATTGTGAAAGCTGGTTTAGTGCTGGCATTATTTGGAGGATGTCAGAAGTACATGGATGATAAAAACAGGATTCCTATTCGAGGAGACCCACACCTGCTGGTGGTTGGAGATCCAGGACTGGGGAAAAGTCAGATGCTGCAAGTATGGCGTCATTTACTAATAGATACAGCTTATTTCTTTTTCAGTGCTAACTGTAAAACTTCTTTTGAAGTTTAAGCTTGCAAAATGCACTTTGTCCATTTGTTTCCTTAGGCTGTATGCAGTATTGCACCTCGCGGTGTCTATGTCTGTGGCAATGCCACTACTACATCAGGCCTGACTGTAACTCTGTCTAGGGACAGCTCATCTGGAGACTTTTCTTTGGAAGCTGGTGCCCTTGTGCTTGCTGATCAAGGTACTGCATGGAGCGCTACTTGAATGACTTGAGCTTTCATGGTTAGTGTCCACTTCATTAAAAGCATGAAGTGCAACCTGAGCAACTTGGGACCAGGTTACCTTAGGAACTGCCTCACCTTTTATGCCCCTGCCTGGCCTTTGCAGTTCTTAGGAAAAGCAGAATGTTGTGCTGGTCCTGGCATTTCTCCCCTTTTCCTTTTAAAATAAATTGTAGAGCCCACAGCTTTGACAACAACAGCAACAGGGCTTTGGTTGCCACTAATGAGTGATAGCAGCCAGAACTCAACTGCTGTTTTAAAATACTTCTGAAATAAAGGAAAAGGGAAATAAAGGAAAATAAAGGAATACATAGCTACCCAACACATGTATTAGTAAGCTACTTAAGGTGGAATCCAGTCAAGATACCCAGAAGCCCCTAAACTTAGGGGATGATGGGCATCCTATGCAGAGTGGAGGGAGTGGTGGAGATGGTCTGCATGTCCCAGCTGCTTCTGCTCTGTATTTTTCCTATGTGTTTTCAGCCAAGTAGCTGGGGCAAGGGGCCTTAAGACCATTCCCTTACTTCCCCATCAAATTGCTTTGTGCTTTTTCTCTTTTCAGTAGCGTACCCTGAAATGCACCCCACCCCCCTCCTGCATGCATCACATGAACCTCTGGAATGACAGTCCTAGTTCCTATGTAATTCTGGGATTCTTTAGGTTAACAGAAGTATATACATTGATGGTAAATTAAAAGAAATATACACTTTAAAATAAAAAAACTAAAATGATAAACAGGACACAAATTTCTGGAATATATGGAATATTGTCATACAGTTGTGGGTGGGGAGGAATAAGGTGGGGTTGGCACACTCAAGTTCCTAAAAGCTTTATAGTACATGTCCTGGGAGTGGAAAAGGGGTTAGGGTGTTTTGGATACATGCTGTAAATATATAGTGTCTTCCCTGCACTATACAGGGATAGTTCATCCCACTCACCTCCTACGCTAGACAGAAGGAATAAGGAACCTTTCACCTTCCAGATGTTTTGGAGCCTAATTCTCATCAACTTTAGCTGATTTGCTCCATGGTTAGAAATGTTGGGTCCAGCAACATCTAAAGGGCCACTGACTCTACTCTGGTTCAAAACCTGGGGTCCCCAGCAGTATATAACTCAGCAAGGGAAAACCTCAGTCTTATTTCCTCCCTCCCACCAAGCCTGAACAGGAGCTTTCATCTTAGGGGTGAGAATACAAAGCAACATTTTGTTGCAGGTCCCACTTGCACTTATTTCTGACTGATCCTGAACTCCTATGGATGCCTGTTTAGGTTACATAGGTCTTCTCAACAGACCTAAAGAAGGTTGCTCTGTGACTTATTTTTGGACAGACCTGACTGCTACCTTGTGTGAACTTTGCAAATTGACTTCACAATATTTTACAGCCTGAATTAGAAACACGTGTGTTGAAACAAATGTCAGTATGATTACCATTTTCTGTAGGGGGCTATGGGTACATGGTCCTGGGTACTAAATGTGTATAATTGGAGCAAAAAATACTGATTAGAAGAACCTATTTTAAACGTACTTTCCTACTGATGTATTTCACTTGTCAATTGCAAGAGTACAGGAGATGTGTTTATTCTGTTGTTTTTACTTCCATAAACTTTTGCTTAGGTATTTGTGGAATAGATGAATTTGATAAGATGGGGAGCCAGCACCAAGCTCTTCTGGAAGCCATGGAACAGCAAAGTATTAGTCTTGCTAAGGCTGGTATAGTTTGCAGTTTGCCAGCCAGAACTTCCATTGTAGCTGCAGCAAATCCATTTGGGGGCCACTATAACAAAGCCAAAACAGTATCTGAGAATTTAAAGTAAGTACTTCTAAAATGTTTGTCCAATAGCTTGCTACAGAAACAAAAAATAGGGGATTTTTCATGCATTAATTTTTGCAGATTTGGTGGACTTTTTAAAGAAAAGTGTAAATATTTTTAACATTGATTTAAACCTATACATAAGTTTCTTTGAACAGACTCCACATATTTGGATTCTTTACAATAACTGTGTTCTCAGTTATTTTTAACTTAGAGAAAAAGAGATGTGATAGTTATCTCCCAAACACAGAAATGCTGTATTTACTCTTCTTTCCCGCATAGAATGGGAAGTGCTTTATTGTCCCGATTTGACTTGGTATTCATACTGCTGGATATACCAAATGAAGATCATGACCACTTGCTTTCTGAACATGTGATGGCAATGAGAAGTAGAAAGCAGACTGGATGCAGCAGTGCTGTAGTGATTCGTAGGAACTCTCAGAATTCAAGTTTATCAATCCTTGAAGCAGTTTCAGACAAACCATTGTCTGAAAGATTAAAGGTAAGAATCTTTTCAGGTATTTTTAAAATAAAATCTCATTATCACAATGTCATACTGCTTAGAGGTAGCAACATTTTCTCCTGTCTTTCACACGGAAGGCCAGAGAAGAGGGTACTTAGCCGGTATCTTAAAGTTTCTGCAACTCCTATTGCTTTCCCTACCACAACAGGCATAGTAATGCAGGTAATTAGAATCCCTTATGCTTTTTGTTGATGTCACTTAACTATTAATGATGTGTCTGGGCATCAGCAAAACCTTGTGGCTCCATAAACCTGGTCTCTGTTTTTCATTGCATCCATATTTGTATCTTGTTGGTTGTTATTTTTGCCTTACCCATTTCTGCTTTTCCCAGTTCCTACTGCAGTGTTTTCCCATCCAGCTGCCAAATTCTCAATAACCTGGTCTACTTCTGCCAGGCTATCACTTGCCTAAATTCCCTTCTCACCATTCTTAATTACACACAGAAAACCAACATACTGCCAGAAGGGAAGCTATCCTTAGAATGAACAGAATATTATATAAATTGTGGTAGCTATCCTGTAGATGGTTTAGCTGTTGGTTTATTAAGGATTTTAGGATTATCTGTGAGAAATGTTTTAGCATTCTGTTTCTGGATGGGTGGAAGACCTGCTTTGGAGGCCTCCCTCTCTCCCCTTTCACTTCTCTCTTTCTATGGTGATGCTTTGCAGGCCTCCCCCTCTCTTCACTTTTTCTCTCTCCTTGGTGATGCTTTGGAGGACCTCCCTCACTGCTCTTTTGCTTCCTGTCTATGGTGTTGCCCTGAATTAGAAAGAGTTGTGTTGAAACAAAAGTCAGTATGATTACCGTTTTCTGTAGGGGGCTGATGATTTCCTGCAGTAACTTTGTTTTAATTAATAGGCTTTATGGCAGTTCATTTGTAAGTAGGGGTTGTTGGTAACTCGGATGTTCATAACTCAGGGACTGCTTGTACTGTTGTGTTCAAAGTGCAGTAATGGAGTGGATGTAACAAACAGGATCTACAGCAGAATGACTTTCAGCAATACTGAGATGAGAATTCAAGCAGGGTGTTCCAGGTCTAACACTCTGCCCATGAAAACCACTGTGCTTTGTATCTATTGTTGTTAAGCTTGCACATCAACTGGAATGGTGCAGTCCGTGAACCATATTTGTAATTGTTAGCTCATTCCAGGAGAAAGCTTTGACCCAATTCCACACCAGCTGTTAAGGAAGTATGTTGGCTATGCTCGGCAGTATGTACACCCCAGATTATCTCCAGAAGCTGCCCATGTCCTCCAGGAATTCTATCTTGAGCTCCGACAACATAGCCAACGAGCAGATACTACACCCATCACCACACGACAGCTAGAGTCATTGATACGTCTTACTGAGGTATCCTTTCCTTTCCTTTTTTGAAATATATATTACTTGAGTTTAACAGCAGGCAGATTTTTACAGGCGATGTTTTAAAGTATGGGCACAAAAGTTCTTTTGTTTGTACTTTCCAAATAAAGAAGTAGAGTCAAACCTCGACCTTCGTGGGTTTAACTTTCACAGATTTGATCATTCATGAGTTTGCCACCTGTCATTCAATGGGGTTTTCTTGGAGCATTGTGGTGTACTGTGGGAATTCGCAGATGATGTGCATAAACTAGAAAATGTAAAGAAAAGTAGTTCTTGCCACATCCTGCAGTCAAGGAAGATGGCCGCCACCACACCATCCACCTGCTAGTTCCCCCCTCCTTTGTGGGGGCACTCAGCATGGGGGCCTCTGCACAGGGGCCAGGCTTCCCCTGCTCCTGACACGAATGTCTACTAGGGTGGTGTCCTCCATGTGCCCCCGTGTTGTGCTACCGGGCAGGAAGGCCCCCCAGTGGGCATCCAGAATCCACAGTGGTATCGGCTACCTACCCCACCCATCTTGAAACATGGACCAAGGAGTCTAACAGGCATGCGAATCAGAGGTTTGACACACTGATTTTTTTTTTTTCAATTAACTGGTAGGAGTACATGTCGACAATATAGGGTAACTCTCAGGGAGAGAGGGAGCAGCAGTCTAGTACACTTATGGTCAACAGTATTAAGAGTTAAGGTTTGTGGGGGCTAGAGATATTTGCAGTTTTTTCACTTTTATGGAAGTCCTGGAGCCCTAACACCTGTGAATGTGGAGGGCCAACTGTAATTTATTTTGATTAATAAACATTACCAGTGACCTAAATCTAAATTGCCAAATTTCTTGTGAGCCCAGGAAAGCAAGGAAAGAACTCACCCTACTTTTATGCTACTCCCATCTTTTTGTGTAAATAAAAATTACTGTTGTGTTAAAAGTTAACAAACAGACTTCAACCATATTTATAGGCTTCAGTTCTCTGAACTGTTCCTTAGTTGCATGGATGATTTTGTCTTCTGCTTCTGAGCTTTTGTGTAAGTTTGAAGGTTTTGTCATCATTGCCCTTAGAAGGGCCTTTAAATAAAGATTGGATGCCTCCAGATGGATACTACTCCAGATAACACCAATGCTGAGTGGGCTACTAAAATTCTCTCATCTTAAATAGGATTCTGTTGAAAATCAATTTCTCTTGCAACAATATTATGCTGCTGCTAAACTTCAATTTACTATTATCTATACTCCTTTTTGCCTCACTATCATATTTTACACTGAAGCTATTATGTTCCCATTTTGCTTTACTGTGCTAATTTTTTATAACAACATTTTATAATTCACATATACTGTAAAATTTCATCCCAAAATTATGAAAAGAAAAAGAGAAAAATATATGCATATATACACTTGTCTATATTGATATAATATTTATGAAAGATATATAAGAAAATAAAATTTTCCAATAATCATACTTAAATTTTAATAAAAGCAAACTAGTTATCCAAATAAGTATCCATTTGAAGGTGGCATTTAAATGCCACCCATTTAGCTATTGAAAGCCTTGTCAGTGCCTCAATCCGTTGCATTATAGGAGGGGAACTTCCTTCCCACATTGTAATATCACTTTTCTGAGGAGCATCACTGTTTTTTGTTACATGACGTTCTGTTGATTTTAATCTATTAATTTATCAGGTTTCTTTGTGTGTCTACCCACCGATCTTCAAAATTATTTTGTCAGTTTGGCCTTAAACCAAGTCAGACTATTGGTCCATCTAGCCCAGTCTTTCTTACTCTGACTGGCAATGGCCGTTCAAGGTCCCAGAAGGCAGAGAGATCTCTCCCAGACTAGCTTCCCAATATCATTGTGTGATACCAGGAATTACAGATACAGATTAGAAACTACCCTGAATCCTTGTGCATGCAAAACATTTCTGCCACTGAGATATGTGTTCTTCCATATATTTCCAGCCATATTTCAAGTAGGCAGTAAAATAACATGAGGGCTTTTTCTGAACATAGTTCAACAATCCACACTGACAATCCTTCCTTGAACAAATTATTATTTCAGAAAATTTAGCAATGGTGCTGAAATATCCTGCTTTTTTAAATGGAAGAAAATGACATACTGTATATCTACCCCTGTTCTTCATACCAAAGTGCAGACTCTTTACACATAGTCTTTCTAGTCTTAATAAATACAGGAGGAACTAAAGTGGGTTCTAAACAATGTATTATCTTGATTTGAATTTTACATTTCAGGCACGGTCAAGATTAGAATTAAGAGAAATGGCCACCAAAGAAGATGCTGAGGATGTTATAGAAATAATGAAATACAGGTAAAATAATTGGATAAAGCACAGTTAAAGCCAGCCAAGTGTCTGTGGGGTTCCAGGATGTACCAAGAGTTCTCCGAAAGCAGATTCCATTGCCCTTTACTTCAGATGTTCTTCACACATTTTTTTGATTATGTGGCACTGTCCTGTACGCTAGAATGAACAGCCTTTGTCCACCTAATGGCCTGTGTGCACATTCAAGTCACTGGACTACTGTGAATACTTAAGTCCTGTATTTGTCATGCAGACAAGGTCTTTATTAGGTGGTAGACCTGAAGAGCAAAGTGGGATGATGCACAAAAGATAATTACATGCTGAATATACTGTCTCATGGACTGGCAAATGCTGAAGGGCATTTATAACATTTCTCCCCACCCTAAGAAGCAAACTTTAAATCTTGATCACAGCTAGATAGGGTCTAAGTATACAATATATGCTGTGAAGAAATGCCTGTATATGCCTATATAACCGTTGTCTATATATAACTATATATAATGCCTGTGTATTGCTGCTACTCTGAACTGTCTTATTTTATGTGGCCTCTGTGAGGCCATGAGGTATCTGAGTCAAAGACCTGTGTAGGTAGTAGTTGCCTAGAGGCATTCTGAGGTATAGGCCTCCTTGTTTAACAGGGTCTAGATCAAGTGAACTCAATTCTAATTGGTTGGGAATTCTAGCAAGATGAAAAAGACTGGCTAGGAAATGACAGCTGAGGAGTTAATCTTTGAGTCCATGGCTGAGTTGAAGCAATGCAACAACCCATCCTGGCAATCAGCTTTGTCCGAGTTGGTTGTTTTGCAAATTACCCACAATGATTGGCTCAGCAATGGGTTCAGCATTTGTTCCCTCCCCTGCTTTCCCCATGTTCCTCCAAGTGATATTCCAGGAGGTGACCGGCCCAGTGAGCATCATGGTCAAGTGGGGATCAGAACCCAGATCTCTCAGGTCTCCTGTCCAGCACTTTCACTACCACACCAGTGCACATGCACGTGCTCTCTCTCTTCTCTCTCCCTTTCTCTTCTCCCCCTGCCCCACATGCACACAATGAACATTTATACAGAAAACATATACTCATTGAATACTCATAGCCTTTTTGTTGCTATTTTACCATTTATGATGGCTGAAGAAAACTAAAGAGAATCAATAGTTGAACAGTGTACTAGATTATGCTGCAAACTAGTAAGAAAAAAACTAGTTTTGGTTTTTTCATTATGGTTAAGGAGAGGAAGCATTAACTGTTCCATATGTGGTTCCCCATCCAGTTTCTATTTTTGCCTCAATTGCTTTTTTCTTCTTCAAGCATGTTAGGAACTTACTCTGATGAGTTTGGAAAGTTGGATTTTGAACGTTCTCAGCACGGTTCTGGCATGAGCAACAGGTCACAAGCAAAGCGATTTGTTTCTGCCCTCCATGGGATTGCAGAAAGAACCTACAACAACCTATTTGAGTTTCAACAGCTCCAACAGATTGCAAAGGAAATAAACATAAAAGTAAGTCATAGTAAAAACATACATTTGGAAAGGATAAAACTAACTATTGGCATTACCAGTTGAAAAAAATCAAGTTATGACTCTAGGAATTCTGCTTCCATTGATCAAACAAGGCAAACAAAGAGGAGCACAAACTTACACAAAGGAAACTCAAGCAAACAGTAAGAGATACAAAACACTTCGAGGAGTGTATTGCTAACAACGTTGTCAACAATAAATAATTCATCCAGAAAAATATCAAAAACAGGAAAGCAGCTGGAGATGCAGTTTAACTGTTAGATAATTATATCAATTAGAATTTTTTTTTATGAAGAAAAGCTTTAAACATCCATAGAAACAAATAAAATTCATTAAATATAAGGAATAAATGGAATACAGTGCTTATTATTTCTTAAATTTATATACCACCCCATAGGCCAGAGGACTCTCTGGGCAGTTTACAATAGCATCAACAAAACATCAATAAAACAAATAATAATACAGTAAGAAACAATTAAAATAGTATAAAATCTGGCAGTTAATTGCAAAAAGAAAAAAGCAAGGCATGGAGCAAATCAGAATTAAAAGCAATGTTAAAAACCGATTTAAAAATCAATTTAGTACTTGATGTGATGCTTATGCAGCTTTAACAGCTTGGATCAGTACATGCCTGACACCTTGCTGCAAAACATGTTTCATTGTGAGTTCAGTGGCAGGGGTAGAAATGTTTCAGATGCAGTGATGGTCTTGTGTTACCCCACTGCCAGGTGAAATCTTAAGAGTATTTTTCAATATCAGACCCCAGAAACATTACAAAGTGCTTTTGAAATTCTGTTTTTGATTAAATATATTTAACTTCTTGGAAGCAAGCAAGCTTTTTCATAAATTTAATTCATACTATTTTCTCTGTTTTGATAATATACCTTCTGTTTTATTTTTCCAGGTAGCTGATTTTGAAAACTTTGTTGGATCTTTAAATGACCAGGGTTATTTCTTGAAAAAAGGTCCAAGATTATATCAGCTTCAGACGATGTGAATTAACTCGGCAATTGAAGAAAACATTTGCTGGAAGAGGCCAGTTGAATGCAACATGGTACTGTACTGAGGCTCATCATATCTTGTAGGTACCTAAGACTAAGGTGCAAGAATCTTTAAAAAAAATCTGTACCTTCAAATAAATCAACTGTTGTTATTCCAGTTAGGAGTGGAGCGACTACTGAAGCCAAGTACTGCAATGACAGAAAAAAGCTGACTACCATTTGCAAGTACTCTAAGTGCCCATGAAAGAAACTAATATACAGTTAATCTTCAAAAGTAGCTGCAAAAAAGTATGGTAGTATCTGTCCTATTAAAGAACAGTCCAAGATGTTAATTGCAACTGCAATACTTTAAGATGTTTAGTAGACTTTCATAGTTGATAGTGCAGTAAACCCATGACTCAGTTTAGACAAGCAGAAACAAGTATGCTCATGAACTTTCTCTTGCATGTCACATGAACTATAGAACGTGTGAGATGGAAGAAGGGAATGTGGAAATCTGCAACACATTCAGATTATAATCTTTGTCTGTTAACATATCCATTCAGAGGCTGCAGGAACTGGTACTCAGTTGCATAAAAGCTATGTAAACAATGAAGCTGAATGCCTTAATTTCATTTCTCAAATTGATGCTGTTGAGATTTTGCTTAAATGAAACAATTTCATAAAGATGTATTGTAACATTAACATTGTAAACTGAAATATTAATCCAATGTACATATGTTTAGTATATTGTGAACAACTGTTCTTTAATAAGTGCTAATTTAGTGCACTGTGTTGGATTATTATTTAAAACAGGCAATAAAAGTTATCAGTTTTTATTAAATGTGTTGATAAAACCACGTATCATCTCAAGCCAAAGTATGCGTCTTGTTTGTGTAAATGCCTGTGCACTTTGGCATTCCTGTGCCAAGAAGACTTATAAATCATAAGGCCTGTGCAGCAGCTTGAGGCAGGGCAAATACTCATACACATGGTAAATACTATCTCTTCCTTCCACCTAAAAAATAGTTTGTGATATTACCTGCCCTGAGATGTCACAAACAACTTGTGCTATTTGCAGGTCATAAGTTCAATTGACTTTTGGCATAAATATTAGAACATTTTAATCATTAAATGATTCAAAGGCTAAAATTATCTAGCTATGTTGTCTGCAATGCTGTGAACCACCCATTTCTAACATTAGGCTGTACATAGAAAAACAAGGTATATTATCCTGCCTCACTGCCTTGCCATAAACAGACCACAGAGGGTGCCTCAGTGTCTGGTGGTGAAGACCAAATGACCCCACTCCATTAGTGGGTAACTGTCAATTGCTATCTTTGTATTTTATGGGTTTGCCAGAGTGCCTCCCTAACCCTGTAAGTTCACACATGTAACCTTTCTGTTTACTTAACTTGGCCAGCCTGTTCAAGGCAACTTTAGTTTAGAAGGCCTGTCAAAGGCATCTAATTAGAGTGAAATGTAACTTTTCTTTATGGTGTTGTGACATATATCCAATCACTTTCCTATTCATATCAAAGTATCCATTCACATTCCTGTGTATTGTATTCACTCCCCTTTTGTGTATTCTATATAACCCTAAGGAAATTACCATGGGGTGTTCCTATTTTGGGCACCCATGGATCCATGCATTCAATTGTAAATAAACCTGTTTGCCCTGACAAGAAACTGATTCCGAGACTATATTGCGGATCGGTGTGACAAGGCAAAGCAACAGCAATACTAAAACTCCTGCAACATGCCTATTAGTGAGCAATTTTACTGGTAATTTGCATGTATCTTTTAAAGTAATTTCCCTATACCTGCATAATATAACCAAACTGCAGATGAAATCCTCGTGGTTTCTGAACATAGCATACATAAGCAGTTTACTAATTGCTAATTATGTGTAAGTACATTATTTTCCTCTTTCTTTGAGTTGAGCCCTTAACTATGCTAGATACTGCTGATGGCTCCCTAGATAAAGGGTTACTGAAAATGGATAGAGCACAAAATATTAATGAACTTGTGGGTTTCTTGCATTTTTCAGAATTTTCTTCCCTAACTCACGCTTGAACTTGCATTTCCTCCCACCTGTTAAAAGCTCAATTGATTGGTTACATGCACATAATAATTATATATGTTTCAGTTAAAAATGCCACACCTGAGAAAAAAGAGATTTTGAAACAGTGGCATATTGTTCAAAATTATTCCTTTGTAAATTGGCCATCAGTTTATAGAGCATTATTTGAAGATTAGGACCTCTTGAAATCTCATCTACATTAGAGGGGTTGGGGGTCCTGGAAGAATCTCGAAAGATGTGCAAGAATACTAACTTTTCATATTCCCCTTTTCCATGGCATGTATGAGCTGTGGCTTGTGTGGCAGAGCAGCACATTACACAGCCAGGCAAATGGAACAAATTCATGTCTGCAGGGGCACCTTGTGCCCTTCCCCAAGCCCCGTTAACCTGTTGCTGGAAGGATGGCTGAGGAGGGTCTTGCATGATGACTGCAGTTTTCCCCAGCCCCTTCTCCAGCCATCTCTTGGATCCATTGTGTCGTTTACATGCTGCCAATGCATTCTTGAAATCTGGAATGAATAGGCTGTTTGCCAGCTGTGATGCTTATTGTCTCATGGATGCAACACTCTTCCTCCTTTGGTACATTCATGTGTTGGTCAGATTGTGCACAATGGTTAGCCTCGATAATTCTATACACCCAAAGCAACAAAATCTTGGACTTTGTAGATTAATAGATTTCTTCTGGCATAAGCTTCTTGGACAGCATAGTCTCCTACATAAACTATTTGATGGCACTGGTTTTATTTCATTTATTAATTTTATTATATTTTGTTTGATTGCATATATTGTGTTTATCTTGTTTATTAACTATTTTATTAATATTACTACTGATATTTTTCAGATTGCCACCCAGAGAGCATAATGCTAATGCGTGCGTTTTATACAAATCTAATAAATTAAAAAATATAAAATATGAAATAAAAAATCCATTATTTTCTGTTATTTTATAGGAGACACGCTGTCCAAGAAGTTTACGGCAAAAGAAACGTGTGACTCTCCACGGTGCCACAAGACGCTTAGCTGCTTTTATTACTCCTAGTTGTGTGTTAGTAATCATATAAGGTCATTTCAATCAAGACGCAACCCTAAGCACGTTTAGAAATAAAAACGCCCTGCTCTTCTGTCTAAATGTGCCTAGGATTGCACCCTATTTTAGAAACCATTCGAATGCCTACAAATTGCAAAGCCCTCTTCTGCCTGCTCCGCGGCTGGCCGACGTTTGCACGCCAATGACGGGACAGGCGCAGGCGCAGGAAGGACTCCGTTACAGGTTGCCTGCCCCTTTAAAAGAAGAGCGCTTAGTTTCACCGTAAAGGAGAGCGGCGGTGTCGTGAAAGTCACGTAAGGCCTTTTCATGAGGCACAAAGTGCGCTCGCGCTATGCTGTATGGAGGACGGTGAGGTGGCGGCAACCGGTGGGGGAGGAGGCGCACGGTGTCGCTGCCCCTCCCCCTCGGAGGTCTCCTAGGGGTTGAGGAGGCCGCCCCCCCACCCCGCCCGTGCCAACCAAGCCATGTTGATCCCGGCTTGGTTGGTCAAAGGCAGCGCCTGTGGGTGGAGGCTCCTGAGGAGTGCAAGCCCGGGAAGCTCCTTTAGAGCCACCGCAGCGGCGGCGGCAACCGCGGCGACAAGGCTAGGAGGAGGCGCACGTTGCGGGGACCCTCGAGCAACGGTCGCGGCCTCTGCGTTGAGTGGCCTCGCGGCGCCTTCGTCTTGCGCCAGGCGCCGTGAGCTACTGCGCGTGCGCCCGCCCGGCGCCGAGCAGCTGCTCTCAGCGCCGAGTCCCACCTTCGTTTGCCCCTGCCGTGGGCCGGGACAGCCGCGACGCTCACGCACCAGCCATGAAGGCGCGCCTCGGCCGCCCGAGGACCTCTCGCAGCGCGCCCCCGGAGGAGCGCCCCCTCGCACGTACGCTGAACTGGTAGGGGCGGGCAGGGGCTGGCGTCGGTTCCCCGTTCTCCTTCCGGGTCGAAGTGGCCAGCCTGGGCGCTACTCCAGTATTCGGTGGGGCTCGAGATCGAATGTGCCTCCGTTGGTAACAAAAGGCATCGCACCACATGGACTACTGGAGAAAGGCTTTCCCTTCCTTTGTCCCCTGTTGTGCAAGTTGTCTGTGTGGAGAAAGACGGGGGTTTGTATGGAAAAATAGTTATACGATCCCCTCAGCTACACATGAAAATGATACAATCTAGGTTCTAGAAACAGGCTGACTGCCTCAGTGAACTGGTCCTAACTCTCCCTTTATCCTCACCCCTTGTGTCTGAGGGAGTAAAAAGGCTTTCTGTTTTGGGGAACCCCCCCCCGTGCTTTCCACAGCATTTGTGCTGATATTTAACTTATCAACTTGTCATCAAATAGCAGGCTTGAGGTCCACCTGATTTCATCTGTGCTTGACATAGCTTCCTGAAACCTGCTGCTGGGAAAATCAGACATTCAGTGTTCAGTCACATGCAGTACTGTAGGTGGAATGCGTTCATACTGTTCCCTAGCTATGTGAAGCCCTAGAAAGGGCTGCTACCATTGTTATATTTTGGAAAGGGGGATGTTTAAGCATATAAATTAATGATGGTTGGGGGGGTCTAATGGAGGATTGTATTTAAATTAAATACAATTAAATTCCACTTTGACGTTTTTCTCATCTGGGAAGAAGGTTCTGCAGTTTTCTGTATTTCTGCATTTGGGCTACCTATCAACTGACTCTATTTGGATACAGATCACAGAAGAGGAATTGTGTTTTATTAAAATATACCTTGACCAGCAACTTATGAGGTAGAGCTCTGCTGAAAGGTTTCTTGAGAAACAGCATTAGCTGTACATAATCATTCGATATCTATAGAATTTACATAGTAGCTTGAGTCTGTGAGTGAACTCTCACAGAGCAATATGTAAATATGTAGTGTTGTCTTGCCTCTTTTCAGGTGCACTGTTTTTTAGTTGAGTTAAGTCACACATTCTGCTTTAAGACAAAAAGAAAACAATCTGTTGGCATGTGCAAGCAGGAGCACAGAAAGAAACCATAGAGTTCATCTGTATCTTGTTTACCATAATGTCTAATACAAGAATGCTGGCTTGTTTCTCCCCAAAAAAGCTCTCATCATAAGCTGACAACAAACCATGACTGGATTTACATGATACAACAAGCCACCATGGTCAGGTACCTATGGTGAGTTGTTGTGTTGTTCAAAACCCAGAACAGGTTTTCTACTGGGTGGCTTATTTTTTGGGAACAAGCCATGCAGAGAACTTGTTGTATGTGATGGGTTATCTGATTTTGTTGTGGGTTGCTGCTGTTGGCTACAGAGCTGCTTGGCAAGATTGGGAGAAAAGAATGCCATTTATTGTGCACAGTTTTGTCATTGACTGCCCTTCCACCAATGCATATGGAACTTTGGAAAAGACCGGTATGAATTCCTACTTCAAAAATGCACAGTTGGGGTTGTACATGTTTTATTTAATGTGTCAGTCTTTTGCAAGTGTATACAGTGGTACCTTGGTTCATGAACTTAATCTGTTTCAGGACTCTGGTCGTGACCCAAATTGGTCATGAGCCAAGTTAAATTTCCCCATAAAGACTTTCTCATATCAGACAATAAGTGCATATTTTAGAAATTATATCAGTTGAGCATTTTTGAGTTACCCAGGTTAAAAAGTTGGGAACTGAAAAGGAGGAGTGATTGGAGTGGGGTGTAGGTTGCAACAAGGAGACAAGATGAGTTCTGCCAGCAAGGTCCCCTAGGAACCAGCTTGAGGTCTGAGGGGGTGAACAAGTTACAGCAAGCCAGATCATCTGCCAGGCATATTGTGCATTGTTCCATGAACAACCAGCCCACCATACTTACTTTGCAGCATGACTTAGTGTGATCTACTAATCTGCCCCATGGTTTATGACTCTAAGCTTGTTTGTGGAGATCTTTAGATATAGTAAGATGAGAAGCATTTATGCTTTTCTGCAGATTAGAAACTAGCTAGACAAACAGCTAAGATTGGAGGTGTCACATCTTATAACCATAATATCAAGGCAGACTGAGTACAGATAGTGTGCTTGACTCTGAATTAAGCCTAAATTCCTGCTATTTTTGTTTTCCAGTATGAAAACCCCTGGACAATTCCCAATTTACTTTCAATGGCTAGGATTGGACTTGCACCAGTTTTGGGTTATTTGATTGTTGAAGAAGATTTTAATATCGCATTGGGTGTGTTTACTCTGGCTGGCATAACAGATCTGGTATGTCTTTTGTAATGTGGTTTTGAAAAGCTTTATAGAAAGGAACATCTTTTTATACATTTTAATAGTCTTTTTAAGGCAATAATAGTGCAACATATATAGAAAGATTTTCTCATTTCTTTGAGAAGTCAGTCTCTTCAGCCTAGCTTAATACCCATTCTGAAATTTCTTTTTAAGGTGTAAGAACATGTTTATAATGTCTGCTCCATTTTAGGATGGCATGGGAAAGACACTAGTTGGCCATTATTTTGCTTTTTGGACAAAGATTTTAGGTTAACAATAACATTAAAATAACAGCATTTATCTAATTCTCTTATATTTGCAGTTGGATGGCTTTATTGCACGTAACTGGGCCAACCAAAAATCTGCATTGGGGAGCGCCTTGGACCCTCTGGCTGATAAAATTCTTATTAGCATCCTGTATATTAGTCTGACCTATGCAAATCTTATTCCAGGTAAGCCAAATAGCTGTTTTCAAATTGTTGTTAAATAGCTCGAAGAGAGCTAAATGTTCAGAGTAATATTTCTAATGGTAGTTGTTTAACAACTGGCTCTCACAATTCAGTTTCTAAATGAGATGACATCAAAACTAATTAATCTTTTTCGTAAGTCTCATAAAATTCAAATTGAAAAGGAACTATAGTATATGCATATTGTTCATTGAATCAGTTTGACCAAATCATTTTCTAAGATTAACTGGCTGCATCTTTGAATATTTGTGAATATTCAAAATGGGAGTGCTCATCGACCCGGAGCTTTCACTCAAAGCTCAGGTAACAGCAGCGGTGAGGAGCGCTTTCCTCCAGCTTCGGTTGATTCATCAGCTGCGCCCCTATCTGGAGTACGACTGCCTCGCAACAGTGACTCATGCGCTGGTGACTTCCCGTCTTGACTTCTGTAACGCGCTCTACCTGGGGCTACCCTTGAAGACGGTCCGGATACTTCAGTTGGTTCAAAATAGAGCTGCCAGGCTGCTGACGGGAACTGGACGTTATGTTCACATGACTCCAGTTCTCCGGCAGCTTCACTGGCTTCCCATTGAAGTCCGGGCCCAATTCAAGATGTTGGTGATGACCTATAAAGCCCTAAACGGCTTGGGTCCTGGTTACCTGAAGGAGCGCTTACGTCCATATATGCCCAGCCGCCCCCTGAGAACAGCGGGAGAGGCCCTCCTCCAGGAGCCCTCAGTGAAGGAAATTAGGAGGGTGGTTACTCGGAGGAGGGCTTTCTCAGCCTAAGTTATGGAACGCGCTCCCCAGAGAGGTCCGCCTGGCGCCGTCGTTATTTGCTTTTCGGCGCCAGGCGAAGACCTTTTTATTTAAGCAGCATTTTAAATGCTAATATTATTGAATTTTATTTGGCCAGGGCGGCTTATTTTATTCTACTGTATATAATTTAATTGCTATTGTTTTAATTTATTGTGTATTTTATTCAATGTTGTGAGCCGCCCCGAGGCTTCGGCAAAGGGCGGCATAGAAATGTTTAAATAAATAAATAAATAAATAAATAATGATGTGGTAATTCTTAAGTGGTGGTTGTTACTGGTCAGAAGTGGTCATGAGTAGGGATGGGACCAACCCTGTTGGAATCTGTCCCTCCAAGCATTCACAGGCTTCCTCTAGTACTTGGCCCAATCTTCCAAAGACAGCCAGAGGAAGTCTTCAAATGCTTGCTGAGCCCCAATTGCACAGCTGGCAACCTTCTTCTGTGTCAGCAGCAGCAACCCAGAAGGTGGCAATAGCTGCTGTGGAGCTGATTGTGCAGTGGTTGCAAGGGCTGCTTTCCTGGCAGATGCCCTGTGACCAAGTGTTGCATGACCAGCCTTCTTCAGTTTGAGGAGCAACTACCATTTGAGCATCTGCTCTGGTGCGTGAGCAGGCCCTGCTATCAGTTGGGGGAGCTGTTTTCCTGGTGGGCACCCCATGACAGAACATCCTGTGAACAGCCCTCTTTGATGCAAGGAGTGGCTGTTGTTTGAATGGCTTCTGTGGCATGTAAGCACGTGCTGCTTGCACAGCATGTGGGACTAGATTCCTGGTGAGCTTCCAGGAATGCAGGATCCACTTGCCAGGAACTCTGGGCCTTCTCAAAGTGGGCTGGAGTCTGGGAACCAAGCCCAGAGAATCTGATGGATTCTGAACCCCAGACAGATTCTTTGCACATCCCTACTCATCATGGCTAAATCCAGTATTACTCTTACTGAAGCCCACTAGCACAATGGGACATTGATTCAACCCGGTGTTTACTTTTGCATGAATAATGTTGTATTCAGTGAATCTGAATGCAACATTACTCATGCAACATATGAATCTAATCTGGATTTCAATGCACACTTACCTGGGAGTAAGTCTCAGTGACTCTTACTGTCCTTATTTTTAGTAGGCATATAAAGGATTACATTTTATTCTTGAGATATCTGTCTTTCCTTGTTCAAACATAGTCCATGGCAGCATATTCATATTAAGATTGAATTAATATTTTTATCAAATTATCTTCATTTAATCTTTCAGCATGGGAAATATGATCCAAACTGATTTTCTCTTGGTATGTGACATTTACACAGCTTAATAAGTTGCTTGCAGTTACCAAGATTTAAGGGTTGGACATGTGGGCCTCTCAGGCAAACTTCTTCCACCTCTAGTGGAGCTCTCAAGCTGCTCAGAATTACTGGCTGCAAATTATAAATATGATGTTTGCAAGTTCTAAGAGTATTTTAATATGAGAGACTTACTAATTTTATTTATATAATTTCAGTTTTTCAAAAATATTGATAATGAATTTATTAATGTTAGCTAAACTTGTTTGGGTAAGACATTGAAGATATAGAAACATCCTATTGCTTATTGAAATGTTTGAATATTGAACAAATTGTTAGGTTAATGTATCTTATTCAACATCATATTCAGCTGCAGGCATAGCAGATAAATAGGATTATTTGATCATGTAGTGGTCTGCACAGTCATCATGTACAGCTTGTTAAAGATTTATTCATTGATTCCTTGTAGCCACAGTAAAAAAGCCAACAGAATCTGTTTTACTTAAATCATAACTGGGGAAAGCATTCCTAATATTGTGTGTGTTTACGCTGGTACTTGTGAATAAGAATACAACAAACTGAATATTACTAATTAATCAAAGAAACCAAATTGTTTTTTTCTTATTTTATGAGTGTATAGATCTTTGGATTCACTTTAGGATTTGCAATTGGTTTGAATTATCTCTTTGAATGCAGATGAAGATATATTTACATACAGTTCCATTTTATTTCCAGTTCCTCTTACAGCTTTGATCGTTTTAAGGGATATTGCATTGATTGCTGCTGTTTTTTATGTTCGATACAAAACTCTTCCTCCACCAGTAAGTATGTGCATATTTAATTTTCCTTAAATCCCAGTCACATCTATTTATGTGTAGTGATAGGATGTAGGCGGAAAGCAGATTTTAATGGGCAATTTTTGTAAGCCCCATGGGGTAGAGATCTTTTGTACATGTTATTTAAAATTACTATGACTCTGGGTGATAATAAATGCACTGCCATGCATAAATAAGAAAAATGAGTATATTTTCTAAATGCACCAGTTGGATTTAATCAACCCATTTGCAGAATATTTTATACATGCCAAACTTTCTGTCTTTCACAGAAAACACTTAGTAGATATTTCAATCCCTGTTATGTCACTGCTCAGTTAAAGCCAACATTTATCAGCAAGGTAAGAGTAATTGTACTACTTAGATTTTATTTGCTATCTAGCATGTGCCATCCTGAGGCACTGTTGAGTCTCCTGGAGATAAGCATGTGATGTGTGAGCATGCTGCTTCAGTGGACAGAGCTTGGAACACACAAAAAGAGAGTGGAGAGTGTAGCAAGTAAATGACTGCCAGGATGGAAGAGGACTTCAGTGCTGCTCTTTTCTGTCCGGGACACTGGCACCAAGAAGCCACAGGGCAAGTACAATGGAGGACTTGATTGCCATCCTGCTTTCCCTGCCTGTCCTGGGATTGTTGTGGAGGGAGATGAACAAGAGTCTCCAGCTTCTGATCTGGTAGCATGGGTTATGTTCCTCTTGAATATCTGACAGTAAATGAAAAGGGCATCTGACATCTTTTGTAGTGAGAAGGCCAAAAGGGAACTCCTTTGAGATTCTCACCATCGTCTCAGTGCTGAAAAATTCTAATTTAGCCTTGGACTTGCAGTATTTTGTCTTTATCAAGAACATCAAAATTGCATCTTGACCTCACACCCTGGTTCGGAGACAATACTAAAGTATGTTTTAGCAGTACAAAAAAGAATGACAGTGAGTCTCAGGCTCGAGGACACCATACTGTTCTTTGTAAATGGGGCCGGGGAGATTTGAAAGCTTCTACTTATAATTTAAAATATACTAGAGTGTCCCATTATGTCCCATCTTACAGCAAATAAAGCAAAATATGAAAGCACATAAAGTTTGATGCTGATTTTTCAAACAGTTAGAAAGTGGGATCTTTCTGTCATCTTCTCAAAAGAGGTCAAAAGGAATAGAGGAAACAAGTCAGCCTTGGGGTTGCTAAGGGTCATTCTACAATGTTAAACTCCTATTGACCTTGGGTCAGTGGTGTCAAAATTACACCATAGCAGTTCTCAATTGTTATATTAATAAGTTTAATTTACTTATTTACATTACTGATCTTTGGGCACTACCTAGTTAAGCACTTTTAGTTCCCATCGATTGTGATGGCAGAAAGCAATGTTAATGCTATGTGATTTCAGTTTTCCCTTAATTTTTTACCAGATAAACACTGTAATGCAGCTCATCTTAGTGGCAGCTTCACTAGCAGCTCCAGTTTTCAATTATGTGGACAGTGTATATCTTCAGTCCTTATGGTATGTAAAACTTGTAGTTGTTGTGATATTGCTCATTTTTGAGAAAACTCAGAATACAATTAAACTTTAAAATAGGAGACTGAGCAGTTTAGAAATTACAAATTTGTGTTTGAGATCAGGTCAGTTCAAGACCAGTCAGCAATCCAACTGAATAAAAGTTATTAGACTTTAAATTGTTGGCAACATATTTTTATGCAAGGTTTCTTGGAAGCCGGGATGCGGTGGTGCAGTGGGTTAAACCGCTGAGCCGCTGGGCTGGTTGACTGAAAGGTCGACAGTTCGAATCCACAGACGAGGTGAGCTCCTGTACTCTGTCCCAGCTCCTGCCAACCTTGCAGTTCGAAAGCATGCAAATGCAAGTAGATAAAAAGGTACCACTTTGGTGGGAAGGTAACAGCGTTCCTTGCACTTCAGTGTTTAGTCATGCCTGCCACATGACTACGGAGACTGTCTGGACAAACGCTGGCTTCCTCAGCTAGGAAACGGAGATGAGCACTGCCCCCAAGAGTCAGACATGACTGGACTTTAATGTCATGGGAAAACCTTTATCTTTTTTTTCTTGGAAGCAAGTCACTGAGATCTATTCCTGGTTAAAGGTGCACAGGATTACAACTGTATTAATATTAATAGGATTATATTTGTACAGACTGAATTCCTGTGTATGGTTAGCGGGAATGTGGTAATGCTGTGGAAACCTTTGGAATCACCTCTGCTTATAAACTCACAGGATAGCTATAGGCAAGTCATGCTCAGTCTTAACCCCCAATCTAAACATGTGGCATCATTTACTAACCTACCTGCAGTCCCAGATTCAATCCCAGCAGCTCTAGTTAAAAAGGCTCTCAGTCAGCAAGATGGGAAAGACCTGCATGACAGACTTGGCCTGGCAGAGTCGCCAATACTAGACTAGATGGAGCAGTGGTCTTGATTCACTGTGTGGATCCTTTTTTGGCATATGTTTTACTTGAGTTTCCAGACTGCCTACTCTTGCAAATCAAACAAAATTTATTCTGAGTAGGATTCTCTTTAAGCATCCTGTAATAATAATCCTGTAATAATACGGAGGTTTGCTTTGCACTCTGCCTTTCCTTATCCTTGCTTAGAAGCAAACTCTTGTTTTTTCCCTAAAGGTGCATCACAGCTTTCACAACAACAGCGTCTGCATACAGTTATTATCATTATGGCCAGAAAACAGTTCAGGTGCTGAACAACAAGTGAAGTCTTGCAGAGTGACTGCTTACCTCCATTTGGTTCAATGTTGGAATGGTGTAGTCCGTATCTGGATTATGGATAACAAACTTTCCTTTTGATAGCTTTGCCTCAATTTAACCATGTCTTTACATTGAAGCTAAAATGAAGTTTTGATCATGTAAATATGCAGGATTTCCAATGTAATTTTTCAATTTGTTTCAAATAAAGTATAATTTTTTACCTTAATATATTTAAACCATGTGCAAAGGTCGTAACTTGATATGATGTGTTTTTGTTCATTGCTTTTCAGAAGTTTGCACTTGTTTTTAGTAGATTTGGGGCTTGATGCACCACATTGTTGGATGCATCTGCATTGGAAAAGACGCTAAAATTAAGGAATACTGGCACAAGCAGAGTCATGATTTCATTTGGTGTAATTTAAGCAGGGGCCATTCTTTCACGGCAGGCTGTAGAGCCTACATCATACTACTTGAAATAACTTGATCCTTTGTTGCTGTGTGTTTTCCTGATGAGAAGTTCAGCATAGTGCTAAGGCCATTTAAAATGCAATTCTTCTTGACACCTTAATCATTGGACTTGTTGTGCTAGTATGTAAGAGTTTAGGGGAAAGCACACTTAGTTATGCTTAGCACATCTGAATCATTACACTATGGCAGTACTGTAGTAATGCTGATACAAATGTTGAGATCAAATTGATGATTGAACAAGGGAACCATGGGCACTTGTGGTGAAATATAAATGTTCTCTTTATACATTGCACATGATCACTTAAATGTCTTGAGATAAGGAAAAAGATGATGGAACATAGTGGTTAATAAACAGATGTGAATTAGGAGGTCCCCGTTTTGAATCTTGGCTCTTGGTGTGAGATCACCAGGTAGGATCTTTCAGCCTTAAGTATGGGATAATGCTGACTTAATTTATAGACTTCTAAGACTTACACCTAATATGTGAAGAGATTTGAATATTGCATTAAATAAATGTAAAGCTATGGCAGTTCCCAGTGCGGTGCTGTGCCTTGCTGCTTCTGTTCTGTGACCAAGCAACACTGCATGCACCATCAAGCCCTTCAAGGAGCAACTGGGAATGAGGAGAAATGCTAAATTCTGGAATTTTTAGCAGATTTGCACAACTGTTGTAGGGAAGCTCTGTTGAGCTATCCTGATCTAGAAATGGATTCCAAATGGGCATTTCCACTTGTTTCAGGGCTTCCTTTCAGAAGCATTAAATCCCAGTCATGGGAGTGGTAAGTTCCAATGTGGTGTGGGATCAGCAGGAGGGCTCGCTTGCACTACAGCCCTGTTAGAGACTGCCCTTTGTTTCCTATCTTATCGATATGGCGATATATTTGCCTGTGCACAATCCTGAGGTCTGTGTTCTAAATCCTTTTCACGGATACATTTTAAGGTTTGAGGTTATAGGTGCAATCTTATGCATAGTTAGGCAGAAATAGTCCTACAGCTCTCAGCATGCTTCAGTCCACATTGTCGCTCAGGCTGGGAAACACTGGAAGTTGTTGGGCTTTTTTCTAACCCTACATAAGATTGCATCTAAAGTTTTCTAGCACACTTTTGGTTCTCTACTTTCTGCAAATAAGGTTCTGGCATGCCTTTTCCATTGAGAAACATAAAATGTAAAAATATCTAATACGAAATACTGTGTAAACACCTGTTTGCAGAGGGGGAAATGAGTTTTAGAATGACTGAAACCAGTGCATGAAATGAGAGACTTTTTTGGAAATGGCCAGAATGAATGTCCCTTTTCTCATCTGCATGACACAAGCAGCCTGTTACCCATATTCAGTATCATGTATAATACTAAGAATACATTTGCCATAACTATCAGCACTGTAGAAAGCTATAAAAACAGATGTAGTTAAGCCAAAGAAGGCATTTCTTAATACAGTCTGATTGGATTATAAGAAGTTGAGAAGTTGTTTAAGAGGGAAGTCTTAACAGGATTGATGAATTCAGGCTGACTGGCTTATCTTTTGGAAATACCAATGTTATGTACAGGATTATGTTAAAACCTGGGATTTTTCTAGAAGATGAATGAGTACAAGTCCTCTGGCATGTTAGCTCTTGACAGGAATCTTTATGCCATTTCCTTTAATAGCAGAATTTTGTGAGTAATGCAAGTCAGTTTAAGCTTCTTAAGATTTTATGAAATATAGATACAGAGATTTCAGACGTGTGTGCGTGTGCACATACATGCATTCACTTACACGTGTGCAGGCAGGTACGCAAGTGGCATGTTTTGCATGAGGTAAACAATATATTTACTGTGAAGGAATGAAAAACTGAAAATGGACTTGTCCATGTTGGATTATTCGGCTATCTCACCAGATGGCAGGTGGTAAAGAAGGGATTGAATTGTATGTGTACCATCAATTTTAATACATTTTGTATATTTAAACTTGTATAAACTCTGTACAATGAAAAGATTTTTGATAGTTTATCTAATCTCAGATTATGCAGTCTAATTGTGTTGTTGTACAAAAACACAGTAGTTTTTCCTCCCCCTGCAAAAACAAAAAGAACTGAAAAGAGGATTGCCATGCCTCTAATCCTTTTAAATGCAAAACAGAGCATGACACACTGTAGAAGTCACTCAGGTACATTTTTTCAGCTGGGGAAGAATAAAAGTTGCATGTCTGAACATTTAAGAGATTTGAAAAAAATGAATGTGCAGGAATGTCCACAGCCAGTGCCTTTGCACTTTCAAAATAAATATTTTCAATGTCTTAACTATGCCAAATTGTGCTGTGTGTACCTCCTTCCATGATCTAATATCTACCACATACTCATAAGAAGGAAGTTGTACTGGGACATGATTGCTGAATAGCGCTGCTACATCAGAAAAGCAGGTTGCTTACCTGTAACTAATGTTCTTCGAGTGGCCATCTGTGCATTCACACATTTGGGTGCTGCTCCTGTGCAGTGCCTAGGCTGGAAAGATGGAAAGCTAACGGTTTTTGGCGGGAAAACTCCCCTCCCCTCCCCCTCCATAGTATATATAGAGCGGAGTGTCCGCCATTTTGCTCAGTCTTTAAAGACCGATCGTTCACCCCCTTGCGGGAGTGAAATACATTAGAGCAAGTATCATCGGTACCGTAGATATAAAAATGTACTGATGAAATCAAATCCACTCACCGACACTGAGCGGGGCCGGCGGGTGGGTTGTGTGAATGCACAGATGGCCACTTGAAGAACATCAGTTACAGGTAAGCAACCTGCTTTTCTTCGTCATGGCCTCTGCATCACACATATGGGTGAATAGCAAGCTTACCAAAGTTGGTGGAGGGTGGTGTCATCACTGAAGAACAGACAGAACAGCCCTCCCAAAGGAACAGTCTCTTCTGGCACACACATCAAGGTGGTAGTGCTTGGCGAAAGTGCACGGAGTAGCCCAAGTTGCAGCTTTGCAGACCTCTTGGATTGGGATACCCACGGCAAATGCAGCGGAAGCTGCTACTGCCCTAGTAGAGTGACCTCTCGGAACAATAGGTAAGTCAATCTGCGCAAGCTGGTATGCCAATACGATGGTTTGAACTATCCATTTCGACAGTCTCTGAGATGAAACAGGTAATCCTTGGTCCTGTTCAGAATACTTCACAAATAGTCTATTGGAACGCCAAAGAGATTCTGTGCGTGATCTGTAAAAAGCCAAGCAGCGTCACACATCTAGAGTATGAAAGGATCTTTCAGTCAGGTTCGACCGTGATGAAAAGACGGCAGATAAGACGATCTCTTGATTCAGGTGGAATGGCGTGGACACTTTAGGCAAAAACATAGAATCCATTCTCAAAACCACCTCTTTATGAAAGTTTAGATAAGGTGGGTCAATTCGAAGAGCACAATGTTCACTGGCTCTGCAAGCTGATGTAACTGCAACAAGAAAAGCTGTTTTCCATGACACAAGACGAAGATCAACAGTTGCTAAAGGTTTGAATGGAGGTCTTGTAAGTGCTTGAAGAACAACTGAAAGACTCCATGTAGGCATGACAGGTTGGATGGAAAGATGAAGATTTTGCAGTCCTTTAAGAAACCTCCTTACAAGAGGTTGTGAAAACACTGACAATCCCTATATCATACCACGGTAATGTGATACAGCTGCTGCATAGACTTTAATGGATGAAGGTTTAAGTCCCGAACGATGTAGTTGTAAAATAAACTGAAGAATATTTTCCACCGAGGCTGCCGTTGGAATAAACAAACGTGATTCTGTGAAAGATGAGAATTGGCGCCACTTCGCTGCGTAAGACTTTCGTGTTGATGATTATAGCGCAGACTCAATAATCCTTTGAACGTCTGGGTCTAAAGAGCTTGGTCCCGATGGTACATCTATCGGTACCAAGGCATTAAGGAAGTCGACGTGCTCATGAGTTGAAGTACCGAGTGACCTAGTAGACCTTGGGACCGGACCAACATCGTTAGTTAATAAACTCGCCACACTGTGAGGTTCAATGAGGGTAAGTCTGGGTGACGGACAGCACTGCCTTGTTGAGTTATGAGATCTGGTCTCGACGGGAGGCGAAGAAAGGTGTTGTCCGAAATCCGAAGGAGGGTGGAAAACCACGCTTGACGAGGCCACCAAGATGTTATCAGGATTCCTGCGGCACCGTCGTGTACGATCTTCGAGACAACTTTCATTAGTAGCAGAATAGGCGGAAACGCATAAATTCTGGTGTTTGTCCAAGGGATCATAAGGGCGTCTCCCATCGATCCCGGTCCTATTCCCGCCCTGGAACAGAATCTTTTGTATGCCCTGTTCTTGTGGGTAGCAAACAGGTCTATGTCCGAATGTCCCCAAAGTTGGAAGAGCTGGCTGCAGACCTGGCGATTGAACTCCCACTCATGGGTCATCGTCATGTGCCTGCTCAGAATGTCGGCTTCCTCGTTGTCGGTCCCGGCAAGATGGACTGCTAATAGAGTTATACCCCTCGGAATGCACCATTCCCAAATGTCCATGGACAGACGAACTAGGGCAATGGACATTTGTTCCGCCCTGCTTGTTGATATAAAACACCGTGACTATACTGTCGGATGTGATCTGGACAACTTGCTGACAGACAGTGTCCTTGAAGGATCGAAGTGCTTTGAAAATTGCTAAGAGTTCGAGGTAGTTGATGTGTCTCGACGACTCCTGTTGGTTCCACGTGCCCTGGGACTGAAGTCCCACGCATACCGCACCCCACCCGATCAGCGAAGCATCGGTATACAGAG